CTGTGTGCCCGCAGTGACGGGTCTGTGGGGTCAGTGTGTGCTCTGTGTGCCCGCAGTGGTTCCACAGCGCGGCCGACGGCGGGGAAGGCTCCGGCGGGGTCACGGGCAGCAAGTTCCGGGCGGACTGGGCGTTCCGGCAGCGGGACTTCGAGGTATTTTCAGGGCGCTCGCACGGGCTGGGGAAGTTGTGGGGACATAAACCGGGGCGGTCCGGCAGTCCCCGATGTTAATGTTCATTATGTACCGCAGCTTGCGGGTCTGGCGGCCGTGCCGTGGTTAATCCCGCTCCTGGTTCGTGCTGAACGTACGGCAGCCCCGGGCAGGGCCGGGTCGCGGTGGAGCTCTGTGTTCTGCCACGATCCCTCCAGGAGTCAGCCCGGTGCAAACTGGGCAGGAGCGCGGCGCTGCCCCGGAACTGATCCCGGGCAGGCGGGCGCATCGCTGCAGCTCAGCCGTGAGCAGAGCTGGTGTCTGTGGCCGGGGAAGTCATGGTCAGAGTTTGGCATGAGGGTTTCTCAGCTCCAGGGGATAATGCCGTGTCCCACAAAGGCTGTCAGATCGCTGGCACCACGTGGCTGCGGGTCACCTTTCTCAGAGCTCCCCCCGCTGTCAGATGAGAGCTGTAGTGGCCGTGAGGCTCCTGCCTGTCGCGGAGCAGCCTCCCTRTGGCTTGTTACAGCTCTCTGCTGCCTCCGCTCCCTCCGGAAGGCTGGTAAATGCCTTTGCCTTGCGTGGATGTTGCCCGTGCCTGTTCCTGCCCGTGGTGGTGCCAGACCTCGCCTCACTGAGTTCGTCCTGAGCCGCATTCCTCATCAGCGATGCTCTCCTGCCTTTTGCAGTTCGAGTTGCAGAATCCAGTCTTTCGTTACCTTGTTTCCTTGTTGAAATCAGCATCTCCARCCCTTGTTTCAGGTGTAGCTTCTTGTTCCAGCCTATGGTTTGCGTTACAGGCTTCCTGATGTCAAAGCTCTCCAGCTGACTTCTGACTCTACTCCTTTTACCTTGCCCATTGGATTTGTGGATTTTTTTGTACCTCAGTTGGCACTGATCCTAATGWTATTCCAGCACCACTGCAGCCCCGTGTATACATGACAGATGTTTTCTAGTCTTAGCTGAGATGCCCTGAAGGGATTCATRAAAGTGTGCTGAGAGCAGAGGTGCCTCAGGCTGTGGTCAGACGTAACTGCTGAACCTCAGGAAAAGCAGATTTCTCCTTGCTGTAGTTCCCAATCAGGAGAGAAAAACACTCCTCAGATCTACTGAATAGAACAAACCATTGCTTCCTCTTTTCTGTTGCAGTGTTTCATGTAGGAAATGTTTACAGTTTTATTGCTAACCTAGGTCACTGGCGGAACAATAACCAAAGGTAGACTGCACATAAAMTTACAGATTTGGAAGCGTTTACCTTGGAAAGGGGCTGGAAATACATAAGTGGGGATAGTAATCTCTTTTCTAATTGTCAGTAKTTTTTTGCTTCAGGATAGGCCACTTGATAGGAAATGCCAAGGACAGCCGTGATCTAAGCTGTGCCTGTTTTTAGGATATAGATGGCTATAGAATATGCTTGGGATTCACGATGCCTGAACCTTGCCAGGTTTTATCCCTTTGTCACATAACAAGGCAAACAGTGTTGTCCTTAACCCTCTGATCCATTTTCACCAGTGGCTGCTGCATGCACTGGGCAGAGGGGAGCTCCCTCTTTTGCTTAAGAAGGAATGTGAGCTCAGCATCAGGAAAGAAAAAGGTTTCAGCTGTTTTGCTAGGAAGTATTTAGGGTGTGTCTCCTGGAAGCTCTTTCTGTTAGAACCATTAAAGTTTGCAAGGAATCATTAAATACTCATTTTGAGAGATGGGAGAATGAGCACTGCTTTTTAGTCTTCTCTCTGAGCACTTACACAAAGGGAGAGAAATCAAGATTCCAGACTTAGCTTCACTGAATACTTAATTTAATGTATTTAAATGTTAATTGGAGTCCTGGTGAGTGCCCTGAGCATTAAGCTGTAGGAGTATTGCTCATTCTTGCCTTTTTCCTTAGCCCAATTAATATTTATTTCATGTACGTTACAACCAGCCTACAGGAACAATGGAGATTCACCTTCCTTGTGTTATTCTCTGATTTACTGATTATGTGAGGTGAGGTACTTGCAGGATCAAACCTTCCCATGCAGAATGTCATGGTTTTGAAACAAAGTCCCACAGATTTAGGATGAGTGCTCAGATCAGTGAGGATGTTTTGTGTCACATATTACCCCGGCTGGTAGATGATCCCTKCTGGATCAAATCTGGTGGGAGAGGTGGACAGATGTGTGGTGAATCCTGCTGGGGCCTACATATGAGCTAGAACTGAGGCTGCTCATTACCATTGGACCTTTCTGTAGAGTACTGGGGCCTTGTCTCTTGCTGGCACAGGTAGTAGYTAAGTCTGGAGGAACAAAAATGTGGGCTCCAGGTTCTGAATTCCCTTTGTAATTGCAGTCTTAAAGAAAACATGCCGGTCAGGCTTGCTTTTAAATGCAAATCTCTCCCTGTTTTGTTGGCTTTTCTTCCTTGGGACACTCCTAGAAAGCCCTTTGTGAATACTCAGACTGCTTGCTACTCTTACCTGCCAGCAACATTGCAATGAGACGGGATGTCCAGGAGGGCCAGGCTCGGTGTTTATCTCGCCTAGGAAGGCACRAGGAAGCTCTGGATATTGCAGAAAAAATGGTAAATAATGCAGTCTTTCTTTTAGGCTTTGAACACGAAAGCATTGCCAGTAGTTCTTTTWTACGGACCATTTTCTGGAAAAATAATTTTCATGTGTATAATCCTTCAGGATGTTCACTGCTCAGAGTATTTGGTAAACAGAGGGTAACTGTCACTGCAGATATAATCACTCTTTAGAAATTGGAACACCCTGTACCACAATGAGCTCCCTGTGCAGGGAAGCTGGTAGTCCTGGGACTAAATATCATGCTCTGCCAGGCAGAATTAATGCAATGTAATAGGAATTATAAGAAAGGGAATAAATGAGTGCTTAAATCTTTCCACTATACAAGTGACAGTTCAAAACTCCCTTTTATTTCCATATACTTGCTGCCAAACTGCTACCAAGAAGMGTGTCTAGCTGCAAACTGAGTTTTTCCCATAAAGGAAAAATCCAGAGGCTCTGAAGTCTGCTAGAATWTTATTGATGCTTTTTATTTTATATAAAAGGTATTTATACTGCGAAGAAAGGCAACTGTAAAACACTCTGAAGGCAAATAAACGAATTACAGCATTTAGGACCTTCTTGCCTCAGGCTRGGCCAAGGCAGCTAGAGGGAATGCTGTCAGCTTGATCCTGCAAGATCTGTATCCCATTGTATCATTTTAAATTAAGAGCAGCATTTCATACAGTTTAAAAATTACCTTTTGATATTTGTATGTCATTATTTAGGGAGACATTTTCTTAGGCACTGAATGGTGGTTCTGTTCTACTCCTGTTTTTAATCTATTATCTCTTGTTTCTAGAGAAACAGCGCTACTAACACAGATCACTTAACAACGGTACTCAACCTGCAGTTTTCCATTTACCAGGGTCTGGAAAATGTAGAAAAAAAGATCATKTGTCTGCAGCAACTGATCTRCTTACATCCTTTCAATCCCTGGTTCTGGAAGTTACTTGCTGAAGCTTATATGAGYCTTTTACAGAATTTTTCTCCATTAGTCATTCCAGAAGCAAATCTAAATCAGTCTGAAGATGTTTGTGTAAGTAATAGCAGTTTCAAAACATCAACTGGCAGAGAGATTAATTTGCAGCCTTACAGATCAGATGGCCAGAAAGAAGGCCCTTGCTTCAGCCTTGCTGCAGAAACAAAGGGCGAGAATGCAGTGACTTGTCCCAGCAGCCCAGTGGTGAAAGAATYCCTTTGCACTTCAGGAGAACTGGAAAGGACGGACAAAGAGAAATGTGCAGCCTCAAAGTCCTGGAAGCAGAACATGTCAAAGAAASTTGGGATAAAAGCATGTGCCTCGTTTATTAGAGCAAGGTAACTGTGTGTATTWTCAGAATAATGCCAGGAACAATGTAAAGCATATTTTTCCTAGATGTTGTTTTCAGTTTKCATTTTCAAGTTAAATGTTTGTTTCAGAGTTGGCAGCACTAACTGGGAAGCACCCTACTATTGCTTCAGATCTAAAAAGCAAAATCTACTTAGTGTGGTGGCTGTGAAGAGTCTGAATCAGAATGGAAAGAATAAACCAGTGTTACACACAGTTGAGAAGTAAAGMATTTTTTAATGAGCTGATAATGTGAATCTTTGCAAGTAATTATATACAAAAGGGTCTGTCCTTTAGCAAATGCTCCTGCTAGACCATTGCTGTTCCCTGGTMTGGTATTAAAGATGCAGCAGCAGAAGTGCCCCAAAGGGAAGGCATAGCCAGTCTTCCTTCTGTGAGTGCCACCTGTCTTATTTGCTTGAMGCCTCATGCTTGAGTGAAAATGTATTTTATAATAATACCCCAATCTGCATAATGGATGAGGCTGGAAAATGAACTCCGTGACAGCTGATTGACAGGGCTGCATTGAAATGCTCTTTCCTTTTCTTTCCCCTCTTCCTAAAATTCTTGCATACAGCAAAAATCCCCAAAACATAATCTTTCAAAGAGATAATTAGGAACTGGTTTGGTTAAAATAATCTTGGATGGTTTTTCCCCCTCTTGCCTCTCAGTAATGTATTAGTCATTGAATGTTTTTAAAGGCATCTTATGAATGTCCAGAAATGTTTAGAGAGAACACTTTATAACTGCCCTGYTGGAGCAAGATTTAAGACATGAAAAAAAAAAACCCAAATAGTAGCTTTTAACTGTTCTCAGACTAAGAGATGAAGACTTTAATTGCTACACAGAAGAAGTTAATGGATTTAATACTGATATTGAATATTGAAGCTACATTTATATTAATAATTTGTGTTGCTTGTTTCAGTGTGTATGGTTCAGAAATGAGATAATTATAAATGGTGGCACTTCCTTGCTTGGCTGCACAGTTTCAGATTGTTACTGTGGTTTATATTTGTCCAGGATAAGCTTCTCCCCTGCCCAAAGCTTATGCAGATTGTCTAATATCTTTGGGTCTGTTGGATTTTAAGTGGATGTAGATRTTATATAAACATATGTGCAGAATAAGTTGCACCTTGAAAGGGGATGTTAGTATTGCTTTTTGTAGGAAATAAGGTTCTCTGTTAATGAATCATGAATAGCTGACTCTCACAGTTTGGAAAAAAAAGAGAGGTTTTTTTTATTAATTTTCATTGAGATTTCATTCTTTTTTATACTATGTTGATGCAAATTTTGAAACAAAATACTTTATAAATTAAAAATACTTCCCATTTTTACTTGGAACCAAGAAACCATCTGTAAATTCAGTAAAGTTTTGACTGGGAAATTCAGACTTGTAAATTTTGATGTTTACAGTGTTCAAATGAAAGTTTTTATCTAAGATCTTGAGTCCTTCCCTTAAAAATGCACACCATTATTATAACACCAACTTCACTTAGCTTCAGTAAATGGGATAAAAAGATGGACCTTAATAAATTCTCAAAAACTGCTATTTATCTCTACAATAATGTCYATTGTGAATTTCAGTTAGTTCACAGGAGATCATGCATTATGTCTCTCTGTTCCTAGAAGTGTAAGATAAGTGTAATACCTGTTAATCTGTTTGACAGTGGACTTGAGACAAAAGTATAGATGCCTGAATATTTCCTCTGCCGACCTGTCTTACAGTCCTTGTGTGAAGAGGACTCTGGAAACTGCCACAGTTCTTGCTGGTCAAATTGGTGATGGGGCCCTGCCTGACATCAACCCCTGTCTTCAGCACATTGTGTAACCATCAATTCATGGTTGTGACTTCTGGGGGCACTRCCTGGAACATAAAACTGGTGAAATGCTTTTAGAAAATACTCCAGGGTTGGCCTGTGTGGAGAGGATGTTTGACATTTGTCCAAACTGCCAAATTTCTAGCTTTTCAGGTTACATAGGCAAAAATGTGCTGCTGTCTTGTTAGGCCATAGTAAGGACATGGGACACCTGATGACTCACCAAGCCTCACTTTTGAATGTGTGACAAATATATGGGGACAAAAATTTTTGCACAGAGTAACCGGAGCTATTGCCGTATTGTTTTTCAGAAATACTTCTCAGTGGTTCTTTCATAGCACAGATATACAACATCCATAGTAGAATGATACACATGTATTGACTTCTTTGCAGTAGGCAAAAGTCAGGAAGAAGAGCTCTTTTAAAGTTTTGAAGTATTAAAARTGTTAATTTAAGTATTAAATATTTTGGTTGTTTTTAGGTCTGCTGACTTACTCTTTTTCCAGCTGTGCCAATTTTAAACTGCCTTTCTCATTCCAGGCTTTTACTTCAGCTTACCCAGTCACAACAGTCGTCCTTTGTGCTAGAGAATAACAGAAAAGGTCAAAAAGAAATTGATGACAAAGTGGCTCGACTTGGTTTTGATGAAAACTCCTTGCTGTTCATRACCAAAGTAAGAGGATGTTTCATTGTGTGCAGGGTCTCAGTTGTGTAGTTATCCTCTAAGCRCGACACTCCCCTGAGCTAATTAACCGTGCCAGGAAGCAAGGGAAATTAGCTGGGGCGGGCTGCTGGCAGTGTCTTACCTGGAACTGACAGAGGTGCCTGTAGAACCCTGGCCTGCGTCACACAGGTGGATCTCTGATCTGCTGAGATGTTCCTTTCAGGAATGTGCAGCGTTGTTAAGTTTCATTGGGCTTGTATTTGCAGATGCATCATCRCTGCGCATTTCCTGGGATGTGCATTTATCTCAGGAATTTTAGATGCCCTAAAGTGAATCACTAGTTTGAAATGTAAGTGAAGATTACTTTGATGGYCACAGCAGTATTAAACACTTGCATAAAAAGTATTAAATATTTTCAGAAAAAGCAGAGACGTTCTTTTACATTTCTTTGTCCTGCTTAATATACTGGGTTMTAGTTTTAAAGAAATACAGAGCAAAGCAATATGTCATTTAATCTCTTCATAGAGATTAAATATTTTTTGTGCTATTTAAAGAGCTTCTGACTTTTATCTTAAGGAGCAAAAGGAAGTTAGTGAGATTGTAACCTTGCTGTCAGCATTACAGCTTTAAGTTGGTGAGTGCCAAGCCGCTGCCCGGCTGCAGGCGGTCGGACCGATGGCATCCATGAGAGGGCAGTAGCACACAGGCTGAGGGTTGGGAACGGCTGAGAAAAGAAACTTCTTTCCTTGCTTCCCTTGCTCGGACATGTCCCCGGAGGAGTTGAGTGTGTTGATGCCGATGCAAGGTGAATACAGAGTTGACGTTGAGATTTTCTGCTGCTATTCAGAGTGAAACCCCMCCGATGCAAGTGCAGCCAGAAGCTGGAGGGACTGTGCAGCTCTGAACCGTGGGGTCAGCTCTCCCTGAATGCAGAATGCCAARGCAGGCAACTTGGTCGTGGCCTGGAAACTTCCCCAGGATGGTGTGGGGTTCATGTGACAAGGGCTTTGTCTGTAAATATATGTTATTAATGCCATGTTTGATGGGGGTTTTCCCTGCAAGTTATTTTCTTGCTCCCCACCTTCTTTCTTACTCTTTTTGCAGGTTATGGGGCAGGATCTTATACCAGAAAAACTAAAAGAGGAGTTTCAGGGTGAGGTAAAATGCATAGGCCCTTCAGCACTGTCATCACTGGTAACTGCTTCAGTCACGGAATTTGAAATCCAATGGTTCGGTAATCTTCAAGATTATTTATGTCACTTTGAYAGACAATTTTATTCAGATATTTATATCCCACCTTCAGTAACCTAGAGGTTTTGTTGTATTTATTCTTATATCTCCAAATTATTATGACACATACAATAAAGCCCATGTTACATTTTTTAAGAATTCTTATTGTATTTCTTTTAAGAATAGATATAAATCTCTCTATGTAAACTCTTAACCTTGCATCCTTTTCTTCATTCACTATTTTTTTTATATTTAAAATTATAAGGAACACAGTATAAAATCAAGTTTTCAGCTTTCAGAGGTAACTTTCCTTTGTAATCCTCACCAATTTGTGCTTGAAGTGCCTGTGATTTTTTTGAGGCCTGCAGTGGTGGTGGGATGAAAGCTTCCTTTCTGATAYCCAATTTGAAAGTTTCTTGGTATCAGATTTGATGTTGTTGCATTTAGAGCCATGGAATTAGCCATCTTCTTAAGTAATTTTTTTAATATTTCTTGATTAACATTACAATKATTTCCTATGGATGGATAACTAGAAATTTCTAATATATTTATACTGAGAAATTGTCAATAACAATTCCATATCTTTTAGGAAGGAAATCTAAGTAGTAAATATTTAAYTTAGAACTCTATTTGAAGCCAAGTRTTTGTTGCAGGTGTAGAACAAACTGTAGTCTTGTGTTCAGTGTGCTTAGATGAGAGAGGAGAAAAACTGTCAAGGTTGTTTATACATACTGAAGAGTGTTTAGTCACATCATATCCTTTGTAAAAGCCTGCAAGGAAGATCTTTGCTGTGARAACAGGCAGTGTTGTTTCTGCCTCACCCAGCTCCCTCTGTTGTGCTTTCCCATCCATGGCTTTGCTTTCTGAAGTACTGGTGCTCTGTGCTTTGGGCTTCTAGAACAGGGCAAAGATCCTCCTATAGTTTCTTTCATTTGAAGTGTTTTACATTTCAGAGTCGTTTGCATTTCAGACATACATGGTGTGCTCTTCTCCATTTTAAACTGTAAGACTTAATTTTTGTAGAAGTGTTCTATAATGGGTTTAATTTAAAACTAGGAGTCTCTTAGACATASTTTGCTGCCCCTTTTCTTATGTGTTCCTGTGTTTTCTTTCTGGAGTACTAAACACTGCCAAAACCTTACATATCATTCACAATTGAATGATAATTCACCATGTGTGGATTATATCCACTACTTTTAGGTGAATTTTAAAGCTTTAAGATAYGGATTAAGGAACCTCTCACTAATCATAGAATGGTTTGGATTGGAAGAGACACTAAAGATCACCTAGTTCCAASCCCACTGCCACCTGCAGGAACACCTTCCACTAGACCTCTCTGGGCAACCTGTTCTAGTGTCTCACCATTCTCACAGCAAAGAATTTCTTCCTAATCTAAATCCGCCTTCTTTTAAGTTTGAATCCATTCCCCCTTGCCCTGTGACCATAGGCTCTTTTAAAAAGTCCCTCTCCAGCTCTTTTTTATCCTCTTTTACATACTGTAAGGGCCCAATCTTTCCAGAGCCAGGCTGGTGAGCACCACTACCTCTCTCAGCCTTTCTTATTAGGAGAGGTCCTCCACCCCTCTGAACATCTTTGTGGCCTCCYCTGGACTCACTTCAACAGGTTCATGTCCCTCCTTTGCTGGGGATCCCAGAGCTGGATGCAGCACTGCAGGTGGGATCTCAGCAGAGCAGAGCAGAGGGACAGAATCCCCTCCTTTGCCCTGCTGCCCACAGGGCTTTGGATGCAGCCCAGGACATGTTTGTCTTTCTGGACTGCAAGTGCCCTTTGCTGGGTTATGTCCAGCCTCTCACGCAGCAGCACCTCCAAGTCTGGACAGGGCTRCTCTCAATCTGTTCATCCCCCAGCCTGGATTGATWCMRGGGTAGCCCTGACCCTGATGYRGCACTTTGCACKTGGTCTTGTTAAACCTCCTGAGATTCATCTTGAGCTTGTCCAGGTCCGTGTGGATGGCATCCCATCCTCCAGGTGTGTCAAYTGCACCACTCAGCTTGGTGTCATCTGCAAACTTGCTGAAGGAGCACTCAGTCCCTTCGTCCGTGTCACTGATGAAGATGAAGACTGAACCCTTGGTGTGGTTTAGCCCTGTGCTAAGTTGACTGAAACTTCTCCAGAAAAATGGAATATTGCCTTCAGCCACGTCAAATTACCTTTGATAGTTTGGTGAGTTAATGCGATTAAACCACATCCTGGTCAGCTTGTTACAAAAGATGATGACTTGGCAAGTATACTTGGGTAAGCATTAGTGCACTCATAATGTACCACAGAAGATTTGGTTTAGTCATGCGTGTGCTTTGCTAGGTGGAAATTCTTGTGTGCATTTGTGCAGCGCTATAGTTGGGTCACAGTGAAGCCCTGTTGAAGGGCTCGGGGTGCTTTTAAGACTAAGAGGTGTCGTAATTTTTCAAAAGAGTCTGTCCACAAAGTGTTGTAAATTAATTACAAGGATTAATCAGGAGAATCTTACAGCAAAAACAGCAAACATGGAAAGCTTAATGCTAAATATGTTAGCAAGAAAATGAAACACGGACATCTCCCACTTTCTTCTTAAACTGAAGGTCATGAGTAGCCACATAAAAAGGCTGTAATATGTTTGATCTCAGCTCTTAGGACATTAGAACACAAGCTTTTGTGTAACCAGGTCTGTATAGACATTTGATGGAAACTCACCAGATTATTTGGCTCCACAAATAAGATTGGAACTGTTTTAGCAGCAAATTAAACACTTGCCAAATGTTGTCATTTTGCGACTGAGATGTCCAAAATACACAGCAGCTAGCCAAGGTGATTTGGAAACTTTCTGGTATCTGTGCAGACTGTTTGACTTTACATCATTTATTCGGCCGGGAACACAAAAATTAACTCCCCACTGGCTCCAGGAATTAAAGGCAAGTGGTAGCTCTTAAGAACAGGCAGTATTTTCTAAAACATAACAATAAAGCAAAAACATTGGTTTTAACTACTGCAAAGAAAACAATATTTATGTTGTTCTGAACATGTCACATAGTTACTGTTCCAAATAACCAGTGTTTTGCACTGGGGCTATAAAATGTTCCTTTGTTCCACTTTTGCCTGGCTATCTCTCAGCTACTTTGGTTCCTCCTTTTTTGGCCTGCCTCTTCCTTTTTTTGTGTCTCTTCTAATTCCAGTTTTCTGTTTCTGATCATGTTTCCAGAGTGGCTTTGCATTTCCACTTTGCATTGAATGCCTCATTGTTGCTTCTACGTTCTGCATGTTGCTTTTACATCTTCCTGTAACAGACTTTTTCATGATTTGGCTTTTATTATATTATTGTTGGTATTAGTACATGCATCAGTATTCCATTCTGAGTTAAACAGCAAATTTTAGTATTGCAAAGTGCAAGTGAGAATCTACTAACAGTTACTGAGATTTGATTTTTGTTATTTTAATGCTTGTGGTTCAGGTGCTTTGGGAAGGACCCTCTGCCGCCAGTTCCAATGCTCCTGAAATGATTGCTGTCTAAAAACACAATCTTAATTATGTGTCTTGCTATTGAATGTTTGAATGCTGCTGGCTTTGAGGTGAGGGAATGTGTTCATGCTGTAATTAGTAACATTCACACAGTTTTCATCACAGAATCATTGAATGGTTTGGGTTGGAATGGAACTTCAAAAGTCATCCAATTCCTGCCTAGGGGGTTGGCAGGTAACCCTCCACTAGACCAGGTTGCTCAAAGCYSCATCCAACCTGACCTTGAACACTGTCAGTGATGGGGCATCCACAACTTCTCTGGGCAACCTGTTCCAATGCCCCACCACCCTAATGATAAAAAATTTCTTCCTTGTGTCCTGTCTAAATCTACCCTCTTTCAATTTAAAACCATCATCCGTCATCCTATCACTGAGTGGGAGTGTTGACTTTGGCCTACTGCCAGGTGCCCACCCTGATGCTCTACCAACCCCTCCTTCCCCAGCATCGCAGGGAAGAAGAAAATAAGATGGAAAAATAAAAAGACCTGTGGTTCACAATAAAGGCAGTTTAATAGAGAAAAAAACAAAGGCTGCACAAGGAAACAGAGGAAAACAAAAATTTATTTATTCTCTATTTTCCATCAGCAGGGAGTCATTGTAAAAATGAGGAATCAAGGGTTGTAACATGGGGTCCTGCTTGTGCTCCCAGTCTGGAGGCACCTTTATGGCTGGCAGTAGCAAAGGGGTTTTTGGTAGTGCCAACTTCTGCCTTCTTTCTGGTACACATACACAAGCTAGATGAAAAATGAAAGCACACCYATTCTGATAGCAATTTGGAAATCCAGGTGGAAGTCTGTGGTCTCCCCACCTGGTGAGAATAGTGATGGCACCTGACACAGCCAGTACTGGGTGAGTTCACCTAATTGTCCTTGCTAGATGACATTGGGAAGGTACTAAAACTGGGGCAGCATCAATCATTGGGGGGTTCAATAGGTAAGGTAACATGGGGTTCAATGGTGACAAATTCTGGGAAACTAGAACATTGACAGTACTTCAGGGCCCTGGGGAGGTTTTTTTTTATATGAGTCAGCTGACCTTCCTGCCTCATGTGATACAGTGTAAGGCAGAACTGTCTCATATGGCAAATCCCTGCTCACTATTCCCCATCATCTTGTCCATTACAGGATAAACTGGAAATAGTTTCCAAGATCTGGGATCAAGGTACAGCTGAAAGGCCTAGTAAGGGTCCTGGAAAGGAGGAGAATGGTATGCAATTATTGAGGAAAAAGGACACCTGGATGGTCTTTGTTTTCTTGGAGGATTAACAGGATAAGACCAAGGGATTGTGTTTCTCACAAAAAAAAAAAAAAGGAGCAGCCTGTGGAAGAACTGGCAAACTGATAATGGACAAGGAGAAGGCTGAGGAACTCAATGAATTTCCTGCCTCAGTTTTCATTGGCAGCCTCTCCTCCCACACTTCTTGAGTGGATGGCTCTCATGGCAGGGACTGAGGAAGCCAAGTCCCTCCCACTGTTAAAGAAGATCAGTTTTGAGAGCACSTGAGGAACCTGAACATATCCAAGTCTATGGGACCTGGCGAGATGTGTCCCAGAGTCCTGAGGGAATTGGCTGGTGTAGTTGCCTAGCCACTCTCCATGGTATTTGAAGTCATGGAAGTCAGGTGAAGTCCCAGGTGACTGGGAGCAGCCTGTGGAAGAAACAATCAATGAAATGCTCCAAGGTGCACAGGCAGTAAGCACAGGGAATTTCCTCGAGCACAGGCTCCTCTGGGTGCTTCCAGTGTGAGCAGCAATTGCTGGTGGGATCTGGTGTGAGTTGTACATCTGGACACCAGGATGCACATTCCAAACCACCTTAATGGGCAGCCCTTGCTCACAGAACACCAGCTGAAAGACCTGCAGGGCTAGTTCAGGATGGGGAAGGGACACTCCAGAAAACCCTGGCCAAGCCCAGCCCATTCATCCAACTTAGTTCCAGGGTGTGAACACTGAGGCAGCAGTGGGTTCATGGTGTCCCGCAAACATCCTTTCCTGGCGCATGACAGTCCCTTAGGCAGTGGCACTTGCCTGCTCTCTGCTCCCTCTGGTAAGGACACGCACAGAACCAGCCATGAAAGGATTGTCCCCATTGCTGCTACCACCAATGGTGCTCTGACATGGCAGAGTTGCCCTCCAGAAAGCCCTGGGGCTTTTCTTGGACTCTGCAGAGGCCCACATGGGGACTTAATTGCCTTCCAGGGTGCTCTGAGGCCTCACCTGGGTTTTGCAGGGACCCACTGCGGGCCCCTGCTGCTCTCCACAGGTAATCCCATTCCAAAAATGTCTAAACATCTCCAAAAAAATCACTTAATTAGAAATTCACTTCTGTAGATAATCTGGAGGTTGGTTTTATTTAAACTTTTTAGCCCCACCTAGATTATCTTCCTTTAAAATGCGACTAAAAAGGACAAAATAGGAGGGCAGCAGGGGAATCCAACAGGCCTCAGCAAAGCCCTGATGAGATATTGTGAGTCACTAAGAAGGGTAATCAGTGGCCTTTGTAGGGTGTGTACCCAGAGATGGGTGCAGCACTGTAGATGGGTCTCACCAGAGCGGAGGGGCAGAATTCCATCTCTCCCCCTGCTGCCCATGGGGCTTTGGATGCAGCCCAGGGCGCATTTGGCATTCTGGGCTACATATGCACAGTGATAGCTCATGTCCAATGCACCATCCACCAGTATTCCCAAGCTGTCCTCTAGGCTGCTCTCCATCCATTCATCCCCTACTCTGCACAGGTACTTTGGATTGCCCCAGGTCAAGGACCTCGCACTTGGCCTTGCTGAACTTCATGGTGTTCACGTGGGCCCCCGGCCTGTCCAGTTCCCTCTGGACAACATCCCTTCTCTCAAATGATTCACCGGCAGGACTCAGCTGGGTGTCATCCTCAGACTTGAGGAGGGTGCACCGTGTGGTAGCAGAGTTTATCGGAGCCCTTCCCTTGCCAGATGGACAGGGCAGGTCCACACCTGCTGTGGCCTTCATGACATTCTGCAGCTGACTATAAACATGTTGCCCTTGATCACTAAGTGATCATGCTTGTGGGGGCCTGTTAGGATTTTTGGCATAACTCATTGCTGAAATTGTAAACTGATTGTTTTCCATCAAAACTGAAATTTCATTCATTTGATGTTCACATTCAGATGTTGTCTGAACCAACAAAAGATGTTTTCCTGATCCAGCTCAAATTAACTCTTAGCTCACAGTGGTCCTTCTGGGTTATTAGCCTGACCCTTATCCACTTTTCATTAGCTGTGCTCTCCAAAACTTTTGCAGGCAAATTGTCTTGCCCCACAGAGATGAAGAGAGCTCCTTCATGGACTTCACAGGTCATGGCCTGAGGAAATGAAGGTCTACAAAGTTTTCCCCACATCCCCCTCGGTACCATCCCAGCTGAGCCACAACAGGATCAGTGAAGTGAACCACATTTAGAAGGAAAGTCTTAATTAGTCTTTTAGGACACCTTAATTCTGTTGTTGATTTCAGAAGAAATAAAATGTGTTTCGTCTTCATCTGGGCTTTGACTGCATGGGACTCACTCAACTTTTGAAAGAGAAGAGAATAAGGTGTACAGGGCAAGAGAACATGCAGAGACAAAAGTCTTTTATTTGAATGGTTGTTATATTCACATAATTAAGTAGAATTATCATAGGAATGAAAATCAAATTTCCCTTCTTCCCGAGGAATCCAAAAAATGTTGCTATGTACAGAATTTACAATTATATGCAATAGTTGATTATTATTCTGGACTCCAAAATTTGATGTTACTGGTTAAAACACCCATACTGAAGATAGAGCAGGATGTGTCCATCCTGTACCTTTCACAATGTCCTTTAAACTTTACTGGCATGCTTCCAAAATTATTGCTCTTCCAAGAATGAGAAATATTCATCTGCATATAATTTTCATCATCCACAGTCTACATAATTAAACTGTATTCCTTTTTGAGCAGGTGAGAAGTCAAGGAAAACAAGCCAGAAGTGCTTAGGGTGTGTTTAGCATTCTGTTTTCTGTTGGAGGCAGATGAAAGACGATCCAAAGCAGGTGTGAAAAAAAAAATCACTGATAAATCAATAGATGTTGGGCATCTTTGTAACTTTGGATGGAAATCCTTTGTTTCATGAATTTTCTTACTTTTGCTTACAGAAGCTTCCTTAGTTTTCATCGATTATTTGGCAGAAAGTTTTTCTGGTTTGGTTCAAGCTGCTGAACCTCTGTAACTCCCTTTATAACTGTAGTCCATGGGCACTACAGACACTCAGTTTGAAAATCAGAGACCATGAAGAACTCAGCAATATCTCTAACTTCATGTTCAATCAAATGACCACAGAGAGGATTTCAAAGATTCATGTGCATTTAAATGAATTGGAACCCAGTCCTGGTGTGTTACTAGTAGGACTTTGCTTCTTTAACTCAGCTTCATTTTCCAACCTTCACAGCTGCCCTGCAATAAGGACAGTTGCCCTGAGCTGGCAGGATTGGAAGTTTGTAACCAAGTGTGCTGGGAYGCTGCTGGCAAGTGGAGTGAACATAGGGTGAACGTGTCTTCTGTAACTGGAACTGTTGATCTCAGTCCATGTCATGGGTACCAGGTCCCTTCCTAAGAATCCTTGGGAACAGCCATCCTTTCTGTGCAGCTCAAGCAGAGAGAGAGCTCTGAGACAGTGCTGTGGCTGGACCTGTGCTTCCCTGCCAGCCTGAAGAGAGTCCCCTGAAATCAAGATTAAGGTTTCATGACAGCACAAAGGTCAGCATTGCCTCTCTTTGCCATGGAAATAGCAGCCTTTAGTCTCCTTGTTAAATTCCATAAATTGCACAGTAATAAACTGTGCCTTTCCCCCTTTCAGTTACCTGGACATAAGTTACTGTACTTCTGGTACAGAAATGTACTGCCATGGGCAGGTGTTAGGTAGCAGGAGTGTTCTACTGTGAGCAGCATTATTCAGATGTGTTCTTCCTGGGATCCTGATACACCTGAGGTTCACACGTTAGCAGGCTTGGCTTTTTAATCAGGGAAATGAAGCATCCATAAGCAGCAAAATAAGAGGCTTGAAATCATCCTCATTTTGTATTATACAGAATTTCTATATTCATCAGCACACAAGCGATTGCTAAACAGCTCCTCGCTATATTTACTTGCATTTCCAAACAAGGTGGTTATTATGCAAACGGGTTAGCTTTGTGGAGGCATCTCCAGGAGGAGCTTAACCCTGTCCTGTTCGGTTCCTCTTGCCTGAGTCTTATGGGTCTGTAAATGTTCATGTTGTTATAGGGAACGGTGGCATTTTCGGCTACATACTGTGGCTGATAGTAGTTAGGCTGGATGGCCTTCTGTGGAGGCGGGGGAGTGAAGGAGACATAGCTGTGGAAGGAATTGACTCGGTGGAGAGGTGACTGGGGAGTGAAGTTGCTGTTGAACATGAGAGTTCCTGGGGTCTGCTTGGTCTGGTGGGTGCTGCCAGCTGAGAGGCTGCTGAGGGAGTCGGAAAGGGTGTTGGCACTCTCCTCTTCGCTGTAGGGGAGGCTGCGTGAGGGGGCCCAGCTCCTGCTGAACAGGAAGGGGAGGCTGCGTGGCGGGGACCTGGGGCCCCTCACGGGCTTGGACAGCGCGTACAGGTGCCGGAACTCCTCGTCAAACAGCTCCACAACCTGGCCCGTGAACTTAGAGAGGAGGTTACGGTGAACCTGGCCACACAACCATGTGAAGCTGGAGGGAGAGACAAGGTAAAGGTTAGAGTTAACACTGGCCATCAGCAACTGCAGATCCCCCGCAGGGGTGATGCGGAAGGCAAATGTGTWTCACTGCTGAAGCTTCTTGTCTAAACACAGGATGAAGATGGTGTCGCAGTTGAATTTCAGGTCAGTTCACATCAGCGCTCTTTGACTTGGATCAATTTTTATTATTGTAGCTGCCTCTAAAACCTTTAAGAAACCTTGTGAAGTTAKGCAACCTCCTAAAGGGAGTGGTGATCCAGATCCACTGCAGGGATAAATGTCAGATACAATACCCAAGGTTTAGGTGTCTGTTCCATGGGAAGGAGTTTAGACCCCTCTTCTGGGTACCTCTCTTCCAAAAAGAATGCATAAATTCAGGTTTTGCCACATTTATCTGCACAGACATAAATTGTACCTTGTACCTTGCAGCATGCCATGCCACTTAGTAACTCTCAACCACTCCAATGACATMAAAAAGTCTAGGAAAGAAGAACCATCCTTTGTTTTCATTTTTCCATAATCTTTCTGCATTGGTCAAGAGAAACACACAAAACCCCAACCTTCTTGTCACGTCCCACACCATAAAACAAGCTGCCACACCTGACAAATGCTTGTWTTTTTCACTACAGAGAAAATGAAATTATAAATATTTCCTACAGCATTTCCAAAAATAAATATAATACTATAAGGTAAAGGAGAAACACCACAGTAATTTTAATTCTGATAGTCCAGAACACACCTTAGGATAACCCACACCTTTTAAATTATTTTTCTTTTATGTGCTTCCCTAATCCACTAAGCAAACATAAATTTGTGCTTTTACAAAACCACAAGCCAGCTTGATTGTGTTGTGCAGGCTGCCATGTCTGAGCAGCAGTAGCACCAATAAAACGAGCATAGTTGAGAAAATGAAATGTAATTACTCCCTGAGCTGACCAGGGCTTGAGCTGTGCAGCAGAGGATACAGAGCAGCAATGRATTTGAACCTGAGGTTATTCTGTGTTGGCAAAACTGCCATGGTTATTCCTGCATGACTTTATTAGCTACACTGGATTTGCACTAGGACTGATGAGAGCCAGACTGGCTGTAGGTGTGTGCCCTTAAAATCTTATTCTTGTTCTTGTCATGTTTTGATAAAACTCCTGTGAAGCTCAGTGGGACTGACAGCCTGAGCTGATACTGAGGCAGTAAGAGAGACAATTTACATCTGCTTGTCCAGAGATTCCTAAAGAGGGTTGGGTTTAAGGTATACAGTGGTTTTATACTGTTGCTTCAGGAGCAGAGGAAGGAGTGAAGAAATCAGTTCAATGCCACTGGGCACCCATACAATATATCCTGTATGTTTTATGACTGGACATGAAAACACACWGTAAGTTACCAGAATACAGGTACTTCTCATCCATTGAGTTCAAATAATTCTAAATATGGACAAAAGCTTAGGAGCCAAGGTAAAGAGCAAGCTAACTCCCTGCTGAATGTGTAACATCTGCTGTGCCAGCTCAACATCGCCTTTATTCACTAAGCACTGCTCTCTACCTTTACATGTCTTTCATTTAACTTAAGGAGACAGTAAGTCAGAAATAAATACAGAAATACTGACAATTAGTCTAGGATATCTACATTGAAGGTTATGAACTCATAAAAGGGCTTAGGTCTAATGTGGCATGTTTATACACTAGAGATACATCTAGTTTATAAAAGAAAATTTAGACAGAAATGAGGATCAATTAAATTTAAAAGCCATTTGGCTTTTAAAAGCCTAACAAAACAAGAGGAAAAATCTGCTCAATTTTGATAATTTACTCCCACATGTAACTTCCTGGAGTACCTGAGGGACAGATACTAGTTTGTGATCAATACTCATTGATCTTATCTGTAGCCCTTGTAAACAGAGAAAATCAGATTAAATTAATACCCCAAAGATTCTCCAAGAATGGATGGCAAATGGGTCAGCTCAAAGTTACAAGATAAGTTCTTAGTGATTTTAAACAAATGCTTGTGGACTTGTTATGTAGTGAGTTGCAGCAATTTACATTCTGTGCCCTTCGCTGAAGAACAAAATACTTGGCATAAAAGACTTAACAGGTTYTCAGTGGCTTAATTCTAAGAGAAAATGCATTGTTTAGGTTTTAGGCCCTGTTTTGCTCCTTGGTTTACAATTTTGAATGCTCAGAGATGTCTGTTATTGTCACCACCTGTCCAGAAAGATCATTTTTCTCCCACRCTTTTTTGAGTGAAGCCCATCAAAAGAAGAGAAAGCACAAAAAAGTGATGCCTGGCTTGCTGGATCACAAATTCAGTCACGGATAAGATACTTCTTGGCCATCTTTCCAGGGCTTTGTGCCATGTCCTGTTACAGACCCTCTCATTTCTCATTGTCTCAATCAAAGCCCACCTCTCCTGTTCAGCACTGGGTCTGTTTCATATTGAGTGTCCCCTCCGCTTTGCTGGAGCTGCAGTTCACTAGGGATGTTCTCACCCTCCTGTTTGCAGCGCTGCAGCAACGAGCAGCACAACACACACGGAATGTRAAAGGGAAGGAAGGACAGGGGTTTTCAGCTGGGCTCATGGGTTAACCTACATGTTCTTATTGCCTACTGGTGGATAACCTGAGTGTGAGAAACCTGCCCCACCTGAACTGCTGCTCTTGGCAAAGCATGTCCATGTTGGTTGTTAGATACTGACTCGGAAAAGGCCAGTGGCCTTCAGCTGACAGCCAGGGAGATACTCAGCTGACTCTGGGGATCAAGGTCTGTGCTTTCTGCTGTTTTCATTTTGCCTTCTTTAGCAATGCTGAGTTTGTGCATTATCTAATTTCAAATTCATTTTAAAAAGGGAGCAACAGTTATCATAGGATGAGGTAGTGACAGAGAGACAGAAAAAAGAAATACTGCATCCTTACCCCTCACCATAGACACTGGCAATAAAAGTTGAGAGTAAAACTCTAACTTAAACCACTCACGCCTGCACTTGTGCTGATGTGTGCAAACAGCCTTCAGAAGCTTCTCAGCTCCAGKCTGCCCACTCAGCAGGACCACACTTATCCACACTGACCCAAGCAGTGATTTTTTAATGTTCTTTTAAAAAAACACTCCAGAGCTGGAGATGCCACAGACTGGGGGGTGGTTGCTTTGTCTCTAATTAATTGCCTGATTCAGTCTTTGTTATCCATTAGGCAAATACATTCTGTCCTGAAAAACTTTGTGAAACAGTGAGTCAGGGTCCCTTTTAGAGAAATATGTCCTGAAGGACTATTTAATTTCCTCAGCCTATTCCTCCTCCAACTATTACAACATCATGCATAGCACAGCACTTAGGTGAAATTTGGTGTTGTATTTTAAAATCTTAGTGTCAATTTTAAGATCTGACTTCMAACAAACGCATTGCAGAAGTGTTTGGGTCTGTTTCACTCAACATCATTCTTGTTTACACCTGAAGAGGTTGGTGGATAAGATTAAGGCATAACAAAAATCTTTCAGATTAATAAAGTGAGAACTAGCAAGAAATGCCACATATTGACAGCCAGCTCTAGCCCATGTGAATTGCAAAATGGCGCTGAGTATGCTGAAGTGTATAGACTTGTTCCTCACCACTCTCTGTTTGCTTGCTGGATACAGAATTGCATACTTTGACAAAGTTCCTGAGATTTAGAGGATTTTCAGCAGCAGTAGAGAAAGACAGAAGTGACTGCACAGGACTTTTGAGTGTTTTTGAAAGTTTTTTTAGTATTGACCGACAAACCAAAAGGAATCATCTTGGCCAGAGAAAGTTGATCTTGTTCTGTCCTTCTCCCACATATCCTTCACTTGTACTCTATACAAGTTATATGATGTTGCATTTCTAAACATCTTTGATGAGGGATTAAAAAACACCCAAATTAACAARAAAACAAAAGAGCACTCAATTAAAAAAAACAAACCCTGAGTGTCCACCCATTTTTGTCTGATGGTTCATTTAGAAATGGAATGAAAAGTGGATCCTGTGTCTGTGTGCATCTGAACTCCTGCAGCCCATCCCCACATATTCACCTTTTCCTTCATGACTGTAGTTCTGTAATCTTCCTGGTGGCACAGTTTTATCTGACCAGAAGCATTTAAGCTTTCAAATAGTAAACTGGGATTCAGAAAAACAATTGCATCCTTTAAATKAAATAATCACAACTTGCATTTTTGTATCTGGATTTCCAGGATACACTTGGTCATTTGTGAAATTTATCTATATAGCCRTGATACTTAGAAACTTAATTTATTTGATGCAAGCTCGGTCTCCTGAAATTCCCTGGCCAGAGGATCTAGAATCTTAATTAAAAATGCAGTTGTTGAGATGGTATTATCCACTACCTGAAATAATTATAGCAGGACAAACAAAACAAAAAATCAACAAACAAACAAACAGGAAAATTTTTTAAAAGCAAGAAAAGTGGAGGCACAGCAGTTATGCAGATATTTATTGCCTGCCTATTAATGAAACAGAGAAAAACAGTAAATCTCTGAAGTATTTCTATTTTACCTTTAATCATGAAATTTGTCATAAGAAGAACAAATCCTCAGATAAGCTGAGTGACATATGCTACATTAAGGAATCCCGAGGGAGACAGAAATGTATCATGTCTCATGATCACAGCACCTGAGAACCCAAACAATGAGGAAAACATAATATTAAGCTGTACACATTTCTAGTTTTGCCCCAGGGCTGCACTGGCAAAGTTGTTTACATTAGCTTCCGAACACTTAAATTAAAACCCATGCTCCATAAAGACCTAATAGCAGCTTTAAAACAAGTTAAGTGGATTTTTGAAAAATGGCACATATTTGAAAACATAAGGGCGGTTTTTTTTGAACAAAAACTTCTTACCTTGTGCAAAAATTTCCACAGCACATTTTTGGGAAGAAGTATTAAAAATCATAAAAGAATACCTAGACATGAACTGCAATGGCTTTTCTCACCTGTAAGATCCAGAGAGCACATATCTCCAGTCAGAGATAAGAAATTTTTCTCGTATTTGTCCTGAAAATTTCCTGCCTGATTTGGCACAGTAAACCTCTCCAGTAACACTGCGGACTGAAATATTCTGTAAATGAAAATAAAATTGAGTGAATTACATTTCTTTTTAATTAAAAATCAGACAGGGAGGGCTCTTTCCTCCCACTGCTTTTAGCTCTTCACTGCCCCAATGTCAGATTTCTTCATGGACTCTCTGATGTGATATTGGGAGGTTTATGTCCAAAGGAAGGCTAGCCAAGGTCTCTCACTTGTCACGGGGTTACTTGTTTCACTGGGGATATAAACCTGCAAAGAAGCTCATGCAGATGGAGCTGTGCCGTGTAACAGTAATGACCCTACCCTGACCAAAAGGAGCACAGGATGCATCCACAGCTGCTCCCACTGACACCCCAGGAACAATTTGCTGTAGCTGTACTCCCTGGATTTACATTGGCTGTGGCAAGACACAGCAGGGCAAAACCTCCACTCCTCCAATCCATCTGGGCCTGCAAGGACACACATGCTACTGACTGGAGCAGCCCAGACAAATGCTGTCCCTTGGGACCAGATGCAGGTACATGTGTGAAGGCAGAAGCAAGTCAGCTGGCCTATGGGATGCTCTGCACTGTCCTTGTGCCTTTCAGGGCCTGAMTCTGCTGTCCACACACACACCTTGCAGAATCAAGACCTTAGTAAATGAGTGGCATCAAGGATTTGACTTGCACATTGTTGAAACCTATGTGCTGTAGCAGCTGACTTACAATAAATAGCACAAGCTTGCTCTTCCTTAGAAGTGAGGATTAACAAACATGCAAACAGTTATTAACATGCTTTATTAATTTCAGTTTCTTTGTATATTTAGGATGGAATTCAGCTGTWGAAAAACAGGTGTTTGGCGCATGTAAGATGCCCTCAGGTTCCCTGTGTGCCCACAGCTGCCATTCCAGAGGTCTGTGGCCTCTGCAGGATCACCCAGGGAGATGTCACAGGTGCTCTACAGCATCTCAAGCAACAACTGAAACGATCTCTAGGAGGATCCTTTTAAAGCCAGTTCCCTCTGACAGAGATGAAGGCAGATTAAACTAACAGCCTGTTCAATYTGAGGCATTATCTCTAAAGGAGAGCTTTAACACATTTTACCAGAAACCACTCAGTGAAACCAAGCTGTGGCCATGCAAAAGAGTTTTGCACACCTTGTTCTCGTGGCTGCCAGACCACAGCTGCTGCAGAGCTATTAAACAGAAGCAGCTCTWATGCTGATGTTAGATAATTCTACTGGGCTACTTAAGACATGTTTAAGACTTCAGGGCCAAGATTATTTTCATCTGAGGGCCTAATGAAAATGCCTTACCTTCCTATAATATCCATGGGAAAACGTAGGCACCTTCAAAGAGGAATTGGGTGCGCTAACACTACCCCAAGAAATCTCTTGCTCCCTTTTAATTAGAAGGTGGATTGACCCTAGCATAACCATGAGCTTCTAGCTCCAAGTGCCTGAAGTTAGGCAGACAAATCTCAGCCTAAGAGCTTCACAGAGACACAGTACCTTGAAGAGATCCTCAGCAATCTGCAACTTGTCGCACATCTCCGAGAAAAGATCTATGCTGCCATGATCGAGCAAYAGGTAGACAAAGACCAGGCGCTTATTGGCTGCCTCCAGGAGGTCACAAAGAATCTCAGTGTCTGTGAACACATCCATCACGATAGCCAACACCTTCAGGAAAAGAGCAGAGGCATTAGCAGAGTCAATTTACATAACTTAAGGTTGCTGTGAGGACACTACSATGTAGTTTATTTGTTTAAAAATATTCCAACAAACACAAATATTCAKTTATATATGGGTATTTTTTCTGGTTTTCTCCCTAAGTGCCTGAATCACTAAATTGATAAGACACGTTGTTTTGTTTTCTTGCTCATATAAAACAAATATAATACACAACATATAACCCAAGGTGACCYAAGAATCTGTAGGTGAGAGCACAAGGTATATATTGAAATTTTAATCAGAGAATGATAAGGATGTAGCCAAAATAAAAGACCATAGCCCTTGCCAAATGGCTGACTASGTGTCTAAACCACATACATTCAGCAAGAATCCCTGGACGATGCTTTTTCTTTTATCACTTACACCTGGACAGCCCGGGGTTTAAAGCCCTCACCCTGTTGTTTTTGGTGGGGTGATAGACTCCAACGGCTCCATCTGTTTCTTTTAAAAAACATTAATTTATGGACTGTTACAATTTGACCACACATGCATGCTCCCCAATTCACAGCTGGCAGAACAGTGTGTAAAAGTCTCAGGACTAGGCATAAAAGCCCTGACACCTATTTAAATGCACAGCCTGCAGGCAGCGTGGATCAAGGGAACTGCAAATGGGATACAAAACCAGTTCTATACTAGAAAGTGCTGCTCTTGTCTGATGTCTGCTATTGCCCATGGAAAGGGTCAATTCAGCCCAGCTATTACCTGACTTATCTTCAGGAGGTGCTTTTTTCTCCACATGACTGTGCTCACCTTCAATCAAAACAAACTCTACAGCATCTCTGTAGATCTTACTAATTAGATCTACTCTGTAGATCTTACTAGACCTACTCTGTAGGTCTTACTAATTGCTTCCAGCTTGCACTGAATCTTACTCCAAAGCCAATGCCCACACCTAACAGCAAGCTTATTCYCCCTGCCACCATGAGGATATCCTGCAAGACCAGGCACATCCTGTGCAGCCAGCATCCTCTTCAGGCAGCCAAACTATTTGTGAAGCAGTGAGGATCCCACACCTTCCTCCTGCTGCCAAAGCCTGATGCTTCAGAAAGAGCTCTGCCATGGCTTGGTAAGCACAATTATGTCCAATATCTCACATCTGCACTTCCTGTTAACGCCCCAGCTCCAGACCATTCTCTCTGGTACTGCTTTTCACCACCTGTTCCCAATTTATATTTCTGCACCTTAGTTTCCTCTCTTTTTTGCAGTAGTTTTTGCTTCTTTAGCCCCAGATTTCACTTTATGGTTTGCACCAATTCCACAAATATGTTAATATTATAGTATTACTTGCCAATCCTTTGGAGTCTGATATCATCCACAAACACAGTTTTTAATCTGTTATTTTTCAATGCATATAGCAAATACTAGGCTATCAAGGATGGACCCTTACCAGACGCTAATTAATAAATGCTGCCTTTGGAAAATTGTGTTCAAAAAGCAGTTGACAAATTTATGCTATTAGTGTTGCTTCAGCACACTCTTATAATGTAAATTAGATGAYTGAGAAGGTCATGTGAACCATGGARTTTTATTACATTTTTCCAATTTTCCCCCTTGTCTCCTCTTGTTGGGACAGAAAATAGGTCTGATTTCATGTTTTACCTGATACCTATTATTGCAGGGACATTTATTTTGTTTTTGCATCTTCCTGATGCCTCCACTTAAAATGACTGATCTGTAATTCCCCTGATGTGGTAAGCTCTTGTAGGGTTTGACAGAGCAGTTGCCAACAGGGATCCTTCTCCCCTGCCATTACACCCTGTGTTATCAGGCCCAACACCTGCCCTTGCAGGGCAATAACAAGYGGAAGGAATCCTGTGGCTCTAGAGGGCTCAGAAGTCTGTGCTGGGCAGCCCCATTACATCCTGGCTTGGCTCCTGACCATTTCTTGGTTGAAACTCCTGGTGCACTTTCGAATTTATGTAAAGGTAAAACTCCTGGATGGTGGTAAATACAGGACCTGAAGTATCAATTTTTTTTCCAGGAAAACAAGRGAGCTGCCAGAACACACACGATGGCAGCTTTCTGTCCCCCCTCCAGCKGCTCAGTTTCTGGTTTCCCAGAATGTGGGCAGCCTGCCTTTGGCTTGTGGCTGGCACTTTTGTGGCCCCCATCACCTGTACGTAGTMAGGGGCATCATATGCACCTTTCCCAAGTGCCAAGTTACACTGCAGAGTCTCTGTATGGAGCCCACATGACATTTTAACTGATACAGGCAACACATTAGGGATGAAAGATCTATTTTCTGAGTACCTTCCTTCCTCTGGGGATGGCTGCTCACATACCAGATGCACCTGCCTTTCTTTGGCCTCCCCTTCACCCACATCTCCCACAAATCCCCTAGAACAATTCCTAATGGCTGAGAGCTCTCTTAGGCTTAATTCTCATTAATGGTGCAATGGTCTGAACAGATATCAAACTGTCCTGCTGGGGATATATGAGAGGGGACAGAGCCAAGCTGCCCTTTCTACATCATATTCAATCCACTGCGTACATGGCAGGTTAGAAGAGAGAAGAGGGAGTGTTTTTTTTTTTTAAACCATCAACATAAAAAAGTATTGGCATGAGTTAAAAGAATATTTTAAAGAAAACACTGCCTGTGTTCAATAACAGGCTCTTCATAGCCACTTTCTAGAGCAAAGCTACACTGCAATTCACAAGACTGCCTTAAATTAAACACCATGTTCACCTGACCTTTTTAAAAGCATGGAGACAACCAAGTGCAGAGGAAACAGCAATTCTCTCCCCATACCTGAGTGGTCTTGTGGATGTGCCGGCGTATGATGTCTCTTATGTTGCTGTTTTTCTCTGTTTGGAAATACACAGTGGCGGTGGATTTTTCCTTTAAATAGGGCTTCTCGGCTGTAATCCATGTGTGGAGCAGAGCCGACTCAYTGCTGTCAGAAATGGTGGGGAAGTAGGTCCCTGAAGGAAGTGACTTGGCATCGTTCTGGTTTGGCACAGCCGCCCCGTCGGTGGCTGAGGACTCCTGTGCATAGTAAGACTCCTTGGCGTTATCCTTGATGTACCGAGCTTCCACCGAGGAGAGGAAATCCACCTCGCCCTCTCTGCTTAGAGTTTCGAGATAAGAGTCCGTCCCACCATCCAAGAAGGCATCGGTGGCCAATCTTATGCTTTCGTTGTGGCTGAAATCCACTTTTGTCAACTTCGAGGACTGGTTCTTGATATCCTCCAGCCTTTTCCGTATCTTACCCATGTGTCTGGGGTGGTTCATGGCTCTTTGTCGCACCAGCCAATCTGCCGGGTAGGCACCATACATATGCGTGCCACAGGCAGTGCAATCCTGCTTCTTGTTTGAAGACTGCATTCTGGCATGAAATCACCTTGGCTGAACGAATTAACTATGAATAAAAATAAAGAGATCTTATTACCGCAGGCAAATTCACACTCCCTGAATTTGTCTGTACAATTATCTTCAAAACAAACCTGAAGCTTGCTTCTCAGGTGGTGGTGTACTCCGGCAACAATCTGTTTCCAGATGGGACACAAGTGCAAAGCTGATTAGATTGCTTATCTGAGGGGCACCCACCTCAGCCCCAGGGCATATGAAGGATTCGAGTCCAATTTACCACGGTTGTCGGATTCGATTGTATTTCCCTTCCTGTCGCATCCTGTGAAATGTGAGTGAGGAAAGCACTCAAGCAAAAGCAGGTAGGCTCCCAAACATCGTTGCACAATCTTTAAAACAGCTTGAGGCTTCTCTGTCTTCCCATAGCACTCGTTAGGAAGAAAMAACAGCTCTGATGTTGAACTGGAACAGAGACAGCAGCCATGTGCATGGCTTCMGAACAGCAAAAAGGGTCATGGGCTCTCTTCTGCACCTACATGCTGCCAGGCAGGCTTAAAAATAGATGTGAACTTCGTCACTGTGCCCAGTCCGGAGTATGTTGCTATTACCATAGACGATTCACTCACTTATTTCTTTAAAGCTTTGTGACTACCTCATCCTATTAAAACACCCCTTCCCAAACATCCTGAAAATTACGTGGAGGAAGGGTTGTGAGCTGGCGTCAAAGCATCAGAAATACAAACACTCATCACCTGATTGTGCACATTTAAGGTTGTTCGGTTGGTTTCTTTTTTTTTTTTTTTTTTTTTTTTTTTTTTTTTCCCAGGCTGCAGCTTCTGGAGTCACGTTGTCCCCTTGGCAGCTCTCTGCTGTGTCATTAGGTGGATGGGTTGCAGAAGGATGACAGGCCAGAGCCTGGGGGCAGCCGGGCCGGCTGGGCTGACCCGGGAGAGGCGGGGCGGGAGGGCACCTGCCCGAGGTGTCCATACCTGTGTGCGTGCCTGGCTGCAGAGCCACGTGTGACACACTTCCCTCACACGGGCTGGCCCTCGCCCCTCGCAGCTCCGTGCCCCGGCTCCAGAGGGGACCGAGGGGAGCTGCCAGCCGGGGYTCCTGGAAGGGCCGAGGGCTGCTGAAGCCATGTGTGGGCAGGGAAAGGGTCCCGCCGCCCCGSCTCGGGAGCACGGCTGTCTTCAGGGACGCACAGGGACAGTTTGTCAGGGCAGCTCCACAGATTCCGTGCCTATGTCAGGTGCCCCATCGGGTGGGGAAAAAAAAGTAATTGCAGGTATAGATGAGGCAAACAAATATGTGAAAAAAGAGAGAAGGGTAGGAAACGGCTCGGGTATCAATCCCGCCGCGACGAAGGGCAGAACCCACTCAAGTGCGGCCGAGGCGGGGCGATGGCRGGGCCGGGGCCGYCCTGAGTTCCTGGGGTGATTTTACAAACTACCCCGTCCCTCCCTCCGCCCCCAACATCCGCCCTCAGCTGCCAGACGCGGACGAAAGTCACTAATTATCTCCTGACCTGTTCTGCGCAATTAGGCCGAAAATGATGCCATCTAATTACCTTGACATGCAGGACTGTGCCCTGCCAACGCCGATCGGGGACCAGGATCTCTAATGGTCACCCCGGTGTCCCTCAGGGTCACCCTGGTCCCCCACATGGTCACGGCGGGGCTCCTCACAGGTTGTCCCATGGGCCCTCACACTGCCACCCTAGCGAAGACCCGCTGTCACCCTGCGCTCCCACAKGATCGCTGCCAGCACGGGATCCCGCCCGGTGGAGCCGTGTGGGCGGAGGAGGCGCCGAGCGGGGCCGTGTCCTCCCGCGGCTCCTGCGGGGAGCGAGGCCGCCGGTAGGATCGAGGGCCCATACGGAGGGAAACTTCGCAGCCGCCTCGTTAGCGCAGTAGGTAGCGCGTCAGTCTCATAATCTGAAGGTCGTGAGTTCGATCCTCACACGGGGCAAAGGCGGGCAGCGCTTTTTTTGCCCTCGGCCACCTCCCCCGCGCTTTTAGCGGCGACAAACGCGCAGGACACCTCGCTCTGAGCCCTCGGTGAGTGCCATGTCGTGCCTGTCGCGATTTCCGAAATGGCAGTTGCAGGTCCAGGGCGTGTCAGTCCCGGCGGTGGGTTCGCGGGGGTGTTTTCCACAATGGTTTTACATTTTGGCGGACGGTTTTCAGCCTCTGAGCTGTCTGTGAGTCCCTACAGGGATGTGGGATGGGGAAATGGCTCCTGCGGGGGCAGTGGGCACACCTGGGGTCACGCTGTGCCCAGGAGCTGCTGTGGGGACACGGCAGGACAGCAGCGGCGGCTTGAGGGAAACACTCTGGTTTATGCACATTTAGCATTTTTACAGACCGTAAGCACGTACACATATGGCCCAAGATGCAGGCCAAAACCTCAGCGAGTCTATTATTTCCCTTTAAATATAAAAATAATCATATGTAAACTCCAAAACAATCATCAGAAAAAGACGAATTTTTTCATCTACTCCCTCTGCCTCCGAGATGATCCTGGCCTGTTGYGTTTTTCTCCCTTGGAAAAGGAACGATGCCTCTTCTTTGAGGCCTGCAATGAGATTTCCATGCATCGTGGTTGCTGCTAATGTGGCTGTTTCAAGTTCCAGATGCAGAGGATGCTAAGGCAAGGATAACCAAGTACCTCTGTGCATTTTGGTCTTCATGTAAGTTAAGGAGAAGCAGAGAGGCTGTTCCCAGCCCCAGGTGACAAAAAGCTGGTGGTTAGAGGTATGGGTCTGCCCAGTGCCTCAGCCCCTAGAGCCACCATGAACAGTCCTGCTCCCATACTGCTGCGCCAAAGAGCGTCTGCAAAACCCCAGGGGAAGCAGAATAAATTAAGATCCCAGTCCTCCTATTTTTGCAGGCTCAAATCTAGCCCTGTATCAGCATTGTGTGTAGCAATTACGAATGATTCACTTTAATTTACTTGTACCTTTTCTTTTTTACTGTAACACTACATAATGTTCTTGACTCTTGGATCAAAAGCACTAGCCCTCAAGTATCACAAGCACTATAAAGAGCAAGGTATTTATTTAGATCCTCTCTCCCCTTCTTTCTTATGAAATGAACCTGCTAATATGCATAACAATTGCACACATCTCCAGCAGCAGGTGCTCCACACCCTCTCTGGGCCTTGGTTTCAGTGTTTGGCTCTCCCCGGAAGGGATTTTTTTTCTCTAATTGCAAATTTCCCTGCTGCAACCTGTAAAATCCACTTACACATCACTGATAAAACCAACATTTTAACAGTGGCTTGTTTCTTCAAGTCAGGGCAACCACCAGAAAAAACAAGTATACAAATACTGCTCATGCAGGAACTTCATGGTAAAAACTGAGTTTATTTTAGAAGTAAAAATAACAAGGAGGTTACAAATAAMACATTTTCTAGCTAGCATTTTATTCTTACATAAGAATATCTCCAAAAGTCTTTATTAAACAGACTATGATCCATCCTGAATCACACTATACATATTTAGCTTTTCACTGATTACTCATTTGAACGTACAGCTAAGGTCCAGAGCAAACCAKCTCAAGGTGACCATGATGTAGCTGGGAAATGAGCTGGACGGTGTCTGGCTTGTGCCTGTGAGGTGAGCCTTTGTCTGAGCCGCCAGACTTCTGCCATCAGCTCCCGCTCCTGGCGGGCCAGTTCTGCTCGTCTTCTGCCTGAAGACACTGAAGTGCAAGAAACTTGGACTTAACATTGCAACTAATGCTTTTCCATAAGCACTACAAATACTTGTTGGAAAACAGATACCTCTGGTAGAGAAATACTGGGTTTCAGTGTCACTGTATGTGAAGCAGCCCTCAGATCTGTAAGAGCAAGTTCTTTGAAAGCAGTGCCCCTGTTGGGCTACCAAGTYAGATTTTAATGGGGGCTACAGCAGRTCCAGAGATTCCCATTGCCTGCAGACTTTTGTATTTAAGGTGTATAGGATTTTAAACTGTGCTTTCAACTGCCAGAGTGGCTAGGACAGACCAGAGGAAATGATTAGACTAATTCTTCACTAAAACTCCCAGTCAGATTTTGATGAAAGACAGCTCTACATCTTCTCAACATTCCCAAATCATACCCAGCTATTAAGACAGGAAAAGCAGAGACAAGATTATCAGGTGACTAAACTAGGCTGAGATTTACTAGGACCACTCTCATAACGTGACACACTTCAGGCTTGTGCTGCCTCTGGTAGCAAAGACATTTTCTGCAGGTGTGAAACAGAACACAACAATAAACTGGTTTACTATCCATCCACTAAACACCTACGCAGATAATGACTCAATCACACAGCCAGGTGTCCCAGCAATGCTTCTGAAACGAAAACTGAAAGAGAGTCCTAACTTGGAAACTTACTGCGTGATGGTGTAAATGCAGACAAATCATTGAGACTGATGTTTTCAGACCTTGGCACCTGCTGGACTTCTGCCTCTCTCTCTGTACACCTGGCCTTTAAATCGCGCACTCTCTCTGTGGGAAATGGAAAGAAGGATTCTTTGCAAATGTAAAATATTTAAGTTTCTAGTGAATTTTTCTAGCTGGAGGTAAAACAGTTTTTCTCCAGGAAGCAAAGCAAGAACAATCACCCACTCAAGCTAATGTCAAGTACAATTTGCTCAGAATTAGAGGTCGGTGTTTCTACTCTTTGGGTCAAAGCTATGCATCACTGCATTTCATTTTAAGAAATTACAGCTCTGTAATTTCATTAACTTCTTAAAATTCCCTTTAAGAAATTAAAGCTCTTTAAGAAATTACATGTGCTGTTTCTTCCTGTATAATTAATCTTCTGACAAATGGGCCACTATGATCATATGGAATATGGCTACTTACGCTTGCAGTTTTAGGAGCCACCCATTTTAATCATGTGCAGTTGCAAATTACTCCATACAAAAACTTTAAGTAAATAAGGACAAAGGCTGAAAAAGTTTGCCCAAAGCAATACTAATCACCTAACCTTAACATTAATCASTAATTTTATGTGAGCCTTGGAAACATGGTAGGGGGGATAGGAGAAATATTGCAAAAACACACAGATACAGCAGCTGAGAAGGATGTAAAAAAGTAATTTCCTGGTATAATACTGTATGTCATCACAGGACAACATTACTTGACAGAAAATTTCTAATGGATGCAATCTTAAAATTGTCTTAKGATGAGCTAAACCTGTGCTTGTCCRAAAAATGCCATTTATATTGCTGCATCTGATAAATCCTATCTGAGATTTCTTTCCAAGTCTATCCTGACGTACCTGTTTCATGAAAGAATATTGCCAGAAAGCACTTATGCTTAAGTTTTTCCCCAGTATTGGACAGTTCATTTGTTGTTGAATGCTTCATGCCAACATCTGCACAGAACTCTATTATCTACATGCTCACCAAAATTCCCATCTTCCCTTTGCAGCTTTTCAGCCAATTCTAAYGCATCATTCGTTTTATCATCTAAGAACTGCTTCCTGTGCTCATCTGCAGCAGCAGCCRCCTTCTGCTCTTCCTTCAGTTGAGCTTTTTTACGTGTAACATCTTCCCACTGTGTAACAGAGATGTTAAATGTCTTCAACAGATGTGTTGCAAGAAAAAAGCAACAAATAGAATCATCTGGATTATTACAGATTACACGTCACCCTAAAATCAAAATATATTATTAAGCTGTGTGAATGCTTTGTTTTAAAAAATGTGTCATTCAAACACCTGGAGAAATGTAAAAGTCTTGGGTCAGAGAAAAAAAAAAGAGGCACTTACAGAAAGAGGAATATGCTTTCCTAAATCTAAAACACCCTTACCAATTCACTCTAGTGCTTCCAGAGACTTCCAGTTGAAACAGAAAAGGAGATTTCTAACAAAATATTTCTCTAATACCTTTCAGCTTTATGCTCTCTCTGTTACAGGCAAGAGACAGTTACATTTTTGCCAKGCCCACTTAGAAAAAGAAAGTATGCAAATACCTTTTTTTCTTCTGTCTCTCTCATGGCCTTCAGCAGTTCAGCTTCTTTCACCCTGTTGTCATGCAGGCGCTTGACAATCTCTTGGTAGCATTTCTCCCGGTCCTGGTCATCACGCCTGAGTCTCCGCTGCGCTTGCAGCCTCCAGTCGGCGTCAATGTGCTTCCGCTCAGCTTTGGCTAAATTTTCTTCAGCCACCTAATAAAATACCTTTCTTATCAGAAATTCAGTCAATTCCAATTGCACAACCTTACCTACAGACCAGGCAAGACAAACTGAGGTGTTCTCCAGTGTCACTGTCAGATGTCCCTGCTAGAGCCACTCACTAACAGGTGCAGCTGACATAAGATTAATACCTRAATGCCAATACTTTCACCCACATCCATCTGCTTCCAAAAATCAAATGCTGTTTACAAAAATTCAGACCCATATGTTTATTTCTAGACAATATACAAATGTAGATGCCAAGCATATGGGCAGTGGGATAGCTGCAACTATTTTTCCAACTGTGCAGTTACAAGTTTTGAGCTTGAAAATCTGAGCAATTCCTAATGTCAAACTACATTCATTACTGTGATATAGAAGACAGCTTCTACAGCTGAATTTCCTGCCAAGTACTACCAACTGAAATTTCCTTTGAGGCTGTCTTTTGTTTCATTATGGTTATAAACAAAACATGTTCCTTAAAAGGAGGATGACTTGTTTTGAAAAGCACTAAAAAAAAAAACAAAAAGTTTATATTCCTCACAGGTCCAGGAGATATATAAAAATATATATGTACTTGTCTGGACACTTCACTCAGATTTCTGAAAACCTCTAAACACAGAATCTTAATCTATTAATATAGGTATCTAGAAATGATAATTTCTTTAGAAAAGTATTTCCACATTAACTTGAACTAGTTAATTGCAATCAAAATACTAGTGACCAGTACTTCTTGTACAAGTTAGCATAGTGACTCCCCAAAACACATGTTAAGATCCAATCATCTTACTGCATGAGCTTTCTGTATTTCTTGTCTGTCTATTTCTATCAATCTCTGAACACGTTGATCTTCCAGATCCACCTTTCTTCGATGGACATCCACCTCTTCTTTCATTTCCTTTCTAACTGCCTCTTGGTCTTTGATTAGATGCTGCCAAGTACACAAACAAAAATTATTGTTGCTAAGCTACTAGTTCACATTTGTGATTCCATCTCTTTAACATTTATTAAAATTTCATTAAACTCATATTTGCATATATCCACACATCTCATCCCACTACATATCATAACTGTCCAAGAAAGTCATAGTCCCTGCTGTTTTATCCACTTGGAATTAGATGAAGCATGAGTCATAACAGTGGCCTGAATCATGACAGGGGATGTTATTCCATTCTCTGGATTACTCTAGAGAATAAAAGCAGAATTTGAAATGAAATGAACTAATTAATCATGAAAATATTCTGCCATTTATGGCAAATTTTAGCCAAAATCCCCAAATGGTTCACAAATATTGTGTTTCATGGTACTGGGACTTGTAATAAACACATCTRCAGCGTGAATGCAGAGATGGTTTGCCAAAGTAGTACAACCCAGCAGCAGATCTAGCAACAGCATTTTAGCATACCACCTTTTCTTCACWTTCACCAGGGCACATCTACACAATTTTCTGGAAAAGTCATAACCCCTTCTCAGGCCTGTGGGAATCTACTGAGCAACTGAGGCAAAGTCAACTTACACAGCCTTCAAAGCAGGARTAGGGACCCTCATTGATGGCAGCGAAACAGTGCAGGGAAAGCCTGTCTGCACAGACTCTTGTGGGCAAACAGAGATCCTCAGCTAGTTAAATAACTGCCACCTTTCTGGCCTAGAGAGGATGATCACTGTAGAATTAGTTCCCTTAGRGAGCTGACTTTACAAGTACTGGAATACAAATGAGGTTAGCCTGGTTTGTGTTATGTAGCCACAATACAGTTGGCTGTGTATTGAATACATAAATGATAATAGAATTTTAGCCCAGTCATGCTCAGTATGGATTATAAAARGTATATGACCAAAAGCTTWAAAAAAACCCAAATATAAGCTGACATGTTTCAAAATAAGGGTCAGATAGCTGGATGTCTACCTCTGCTTTATTCCATTGGATCTATGCACACTCAAGATGGGCACATGKAGCTGTGATTTCTAAACACCTAACTTAGTATTTTTAACCAAAATGAACATTTCTAAAGCCTTCCATTGGGATCCAAATTTCCAGTAATTTGTAATTATTATTTACAATAATTAACTAATATTTAACTTTAAACAGAATTACTGATWAAACCCTTCATTAYTGAACAGCCATATTCCTGAATAAAYGAATAATTTCAGAAAGGAAYTGCACATTCCTGATRAATTCCTTTTTCCTTATTGATGATGTTGGTAAGTAGACACTTTTTCATCACCTACATCAATCTGCTATAATGYTCTCTCCAGAAAATGTAGATATGTCTGGATATCAAAGATGAAAAAGTGGTAGTTCCTGGGATGAGGAACACATTGTTATAGACTTAGTTCTTATTTACATGTTCCTCACTTCCCTCAAGCAGTTGAGCACACAGCTAAGCCCTGCATCAACCAAATGACACCTCATCATAGGAGAATAAAATAGAGAGGATATGAGTATTTTCACCCAAAACTCCCYAAGATAATAGTGAGTTCTGCTAATGCTTTTATCAACAGAGGATTTATCAAAAAAAWGGTATGAAATAGCAAAAAGAAAAAAAAAGGCACCCTTTTTCCTCACAAAGTCTGGYTGAATGGACACAATCAAATCAAGTATCTTARAAGGTAGAACCATTAAATGTTTATATTTAGTATAGTTCCCTAATAATTACCTGTTCAAAAAGCTGCTTTTGTGATTCAAGTTCCATCCGTTGTAGTTCGATATCCTGAACAGCAGCAGCTGTTTCCTGGTCTCTCATAGATGCCTTGTGGAGAAGAGACACACATGAAAATACAGTCAAGAAATTCTTCTGCTTTAAAAAAACATTATCAAGAAGMATGTTCAAACCCCCACAMCCCTAAGTTCCAGTTGASTTTCTGTCATATGAAGAAYGGAAAATAATGCATAACAAAAGCACAGGGCAAGGTGTACAAGAGGCACAGGAAGAGTTTTGCATCTAGCCAAGCTATGTCATGGAAATATCATTTCTTATCTCATGCTAATAACCTGCCAGATGCAGCTCTGAATCGAGCAAGGAGTCTCTAAAGCCAGAATGCTGTGGAGGACAGTAGGCAGAAGGGGAAGTGGCCATGTTGCACCTGCAGAACCTGTACTGAGCTTGAGCTAAGGAGGGTTACAGCTCTCTGAACAAGGAAACAACCACACAGAGCTGCACTGTGCTCTGCAAAGTGTGCTGCCCAGACACAAGGAATAGCCCTGCAAAGGCTCAATTTGTGCCCATCAGTTGCACGTGTATGCCATGGTGCTCGAGTCAGTAACTCAGAAGCAGGGCCAGGCCTGGCCAGAGGCCACTGCAGAGTCTCTCAATCAATGGCAGAGTTAATTTGCAATCTGGACATACAGCCCACAGACAGCTGAGAATTCACTAGTCCTTTAAGAAGCTCATTACATTTTTCAACACTGCCAGTAATGAGGTGAATCTGGGTTTTCTCAGSAATTTTGCCAGTTAAAGCAAGCCAGAGGAACATACTAAGTGCCAAATGAAACTGTTAAATTATGCATTTACCACTTAAAGCAGTCCACCTAATRCTAAATACACCTCTGGGCTAACAAATCACAGTATATCAACTAAAAATTTCTGTTTATTTTCACTGTTAAACCTTACAGAAAAGAATTGCTTGAGCAGTACTCAACCTTTCTTGCAATTTCATCATCGAGACGTTTCAGTTCCATTTGAAGCTGGTCTTGCTGGTAGTTCAGAAAACGCCTTCTTGAAGCATCTAGAAGTTGCAGTTCCTTTACTTTCAGTTTTCTTTTCATAACAGCAAGACTTCAAAGCCAAAATAAACAGAAACAAGGGAACTARTTTATGTAAAAGGCCAGTACCAAAAAGCACAAAATCTCAATGCAATTAGCCTTTAGTTACTATGAGCTCATCTCTAACTTATAAATCTTAGGACAGTTGCTTTCACGGCTGTAAATTGTGCAGTTTTCATTTATGAGACAAAATTAAATTCACAGATACACAAATATCTTCTAAGGGCAATGTCTCCAGTTAAACTTTGAAGTCCTGTGCCCTGTTTCTGTTCCACTTAAACAAGTACTAGTTTAATATTGCAACGATCCAAAACTGGAAACTACTTAGAATAACTGCCAGTGTACTGGTACCTCTTGCTATACAAAATTAGTTCCAAGTTTATTTGGTAAATATCAAACTCTTTCAAGGTACAAAACCACAAACTCAAGAATTAGTTTGTCAATAAAGTCTTGCTGTCCTCTTTAAAACAAACTCTGCAGGTTACAGAGGTTTAGGAGACGTGCTCAGAAACGTGCTGGTTAGGCAMATGGTTTAGTGGTGGAGTTGACAGTGCCGGGTTAACAGTTATAGACTTGATGATCTTAAAGGTAATTTTCAACTTAAATGATTCTATGATTACCTGTAGTTGATCTAAGAAACTATGGAGATGATGAAATAATCTCAAACCTTCACAACTGCAAAATGTACAAACTAACAGTTCAGCTTCATTACTATCACAACTCTCTGCTCATCAACTGATACATAAAGCAGACTTTTTTCTAGATCCACTAGAAATACAAGATTGCATAGTCACTGACCCTTTAAGTGACTCATATCTGCAGTGTGAGCCTGTCCACAAGTGCAAGTCTAAAGTCTCTGTGTGCACACACACAGCAATTAAACTCTCTGTTTAAGAGACTTCCCAATCCAAAGGAACCAGACAAATGGCTGGGAGCTGAGACAAAAATACGAAGTGAGTTGACCTCTACTGCTGTATTCCCTCAAGGGATTAATAGGCGAGCAGTAATACAACCCAGATCACTTAATTCCCACATCAAAATATGACCCACCAGACCACAGATATMCCACATTACAATTTATACCAATTAGTGGCTATTTCTCCTTTACTCATGGTTAAAAATATAATAGCAGCATACAGTAGCCAGGCCCCTCATGCTTCTTATATTCTAATACCTCTGCCTCTGTTCTGCCAGCCTCTCTTCTTCTTCCAGTAGGATTTTTCGCCTCTGTTCTTCAGCTTCTTGAAGTAATTTCTGCTTTCGATACCAGGCTTCATCTTCTGCTTTCTGTTTCTGTGCTTTGGCTTCTGATTCATGTGCTAATTGTCTAAACAGAAGGAGGTAACATGTTAATAATTCAAGCCAAATATCAAGAAATTACTTGATTACTTTGAAACTGATGACACAAAGAACTGCCGCAATGAAATGACATGAAAGCATATGGCATCCCCTTTGTAGCAATAAAGTACACGAGGAAGATTTACAATACTGCCTGTTAGAGACAACAGGGCATTATAGATGAGTGCAGGTATTTCTTCCTTGCCTTTCTAACAAAAACGTGTTTCTAAGGGTGCCTTGGCATCATGATACCCACTRATTTCAATAGCAAGCTAAGAACTCCTGCCCCTTCAAAATTTGGACCCCACAAGGTCAACAGAGGTTTAGTCTCTGGCTATGAGCTTCCAATTTGGGTGACTTGTGATCCAGTATTTTCTGCTAATTAGCAAAYATCTTTTATTTAAGACAATATGACAATTTTACTTAAAAACATGTCAAACCAAGTAACTGTCAACCTTTAGCAGCTATTTAAAGTCCTTTTCTTGGATCTTYTCTCTTCTCAAGCACACACATTACAACATACAAAGGCAATTACATCCACCTGTCCTTCCCAGTCTGAGACTGTCTTCAATTTCCCACTAATACCTCTCTCGCAAGTATTCAATTTCATCCTGTCTGATCTTCTCTCGTTCCCGAGCTTGATARTCCACAATGAACGTGGGATATTTATTAAATACAGGGTACTGTCCTTTTGTAAGTGGTATGAAGTCATCAAGCATACGCTGTGGATGGATATCCAGTGGTGTAGTCTCCATAAGATGATAGGCTTCTTTAATCACAACATTAATGTCCAGGTTGTTACGATGATGAAAGAAATACTGTAAGAGACATGCTGTCATTTACATTCTACAAAATATTATGCACTTTTACATATTTTTACATAGATATTTACTTTTAATACACATATTTGGTAATAATGAGGAAAATTAGCAGGATATGTATTTAAAGTTAATTTAAAAAAAGAGTTTTTTAGGTTTTCCTATCAATTCATAAATTATCACCAGCTCAAGTGACTTGAGCCAAACTTCTTCAAGATGTGAAAGCTCACTCTGGTGGCTTTTCCTTCTCCTCAAATGACAGCTGTGTAAGGGATCTGGGAAGCTAGRTGTCAATTTGGACTGTCCAACAGGCCACACAGTGACTCCTACCACTGGATAAACCCACCAGTGTTTAACCATGAAGCTTGTAATTTTCTCTTCTTGCAGGACTATTCTTTCTGTCAAAGATTTTATCCACCAAGAGAAACTCTAAATTGGTCATTATTAAACATAGCAATAATATTGTCTGTTTGATGTCAGTCARACTAACTGCTCATAAGCACATTTTAGAGGTGGAAACCTTTGGTTGCCTACAGAGATATTTTCATAAGAAAAAACTGAGCGTACCATGTAATGTTAAACATAAGGAAACATTTTAATTGAGCTTCASAGAACATCCAATAATACTGCCTAATTTTGAAAATCTGACCAGAGGATAATAAAACAACATAACAGAATTATTGTGTATTGTCTCCAGAGGCAGAAGTCCATACTGGATCCTCAAAAAAGAGACAGAATWATTTTTTGGTTTATGAACTATTTTAAAAATGGCTTTTAGTGACATTAGAAAACTTATGAAAGCTTTTATAGTTTTCCTTGCATGAAACTGCAGGAAATAGGTCAATGTTTTATTCCTTTATTGTGTATTTGTCAAGTACCAGATGATGAATTAATATAYTAATGTGGAAATGGATCTCCTTGTAACCTAACAACTGATACAATGTTTTATACATATTTTCCAGATGATTGACTTAAATATAAAGATGTTTACCTCAAAATCTTCTGCTTGATTACAGTGGAGCAAGGGAGCTCTGGAACATATAATATAGGCAACAACAATCATTAGAAAGTATGAAGGATGGTTGGAGAAAATATTGTCGAACACTTTCAGCCATTCTTCTCTTGTTAGAACCTCAGATAACAATGTTTCTAGGAGAGGCCAAGCATAAACCTAAATTATTTGGGAAAATTGACAAAATAATCCATTAGTACAATTTTACTATTCCTTTTAAAGAAGTAATATAACTTTTCTTGCCTTATACAAAGAATCTATTCATTTATGAAAAAAAGAGGAAATAAACTAGAACATTTCAAGGYAAGTTTCATCACCCACGATAAACATTCAAAATTAATTTGGGGTGATTATAAATACATTTCTTATTTCACTGGGTGTCTAAATTTTGGGTTTGCCAAGCTAAAAATATCCCTAATGATAAAYAGGGATTATAAAATTAATTCATTACACCTATGCATGTGAAAAAAAAGGTACATTTATAACTTAATGAGTGGATTTTAAAGCAATGTGGACTCAAAAGCAAAGAACTTTTAAAGAACAACAGTAATATGCATATGATCATGGCCAAGGAAAAACAACAGGAAAGCAATGATATATTCTTTACTCTCGCATATAGTTAACTGTTATTTAATGAAAACTCTCCCAAACTAGAAACACATCAAAATAAAAGACTGGTGTACTATTATTCATTGTAGTACATTTTTGTATACAAAGGCTGGCTAGAATATTACCTGTGAAGTCACTTTGTATTTTATTAAATGCTGAAGTAGTTCTTTGTCRTGATGTGCCAAAACATTTTCAATCATACCAAGGACATTAACTGGAGGATTGGGAAAGTACTCAAACCAGTGCTGACAAAAATTAACTGAAAGAGAATAAGAAGCTGAACACAATCCCTTGGAAYCCAGAGTGAAAGATTCATGACAACCTAAAAGTTTGGTTATAAAGGTGACGAATTTCAGAGTYTGTTTCAGGCAGCAAAACCTATTTAAGATATTCCCATCTCTTCTCTTTCCTAGTATTCCTGAACCATTCCCACAGTACACTGCTCTCCTCCAGCTGCACTGGCATGTGTTTTTGTGTCAGTACACTGTGAACCAGATTGAAGAACTAATCTGGCTCAAATATAAAATGAGTCTCTGAGCTGTGGGACTAAGGCATGGGAGGCAGATGGGAATACTTAAACCAGTTTTTCTGTCTCACAAAACTACAGCCTGGATCAAGTAATTTTTAACGTACTAAGAATAATTTCTTTAAACTTGGATACTTATTCATCAACAGCATGTGTTTTGCTAAGTGGGTATGTATGCTTGGCAGCACATATCTTCTGTAGACTTAGCAGCAGCTGCAACAACTAATTTAAGTGTAAAGTACTTTAATTTAGAATGTTTCCTCAGAAGACAGCCATAGCCAGTGTTCAGACAAATGTGCAGTTTTGAGTTACCACATGCTCAAGACAACAGAACACAATAAAACCTTGAAAGAGATCATATCCTTTTGACTGGGAGTTAGGGGTGGGTGGCTGTGACTACTTTTCCCATGCCTCAGAGACTTAATTATTACAATATAACTATGCTAGATACTTTTGGGTTTGCAAATACTAGATACATTACAATTAGACTTTACAAATACTGTTAAAACTGCTAACTTTTTGCTAGAAACACTGCAAAAGGAAGTCTAATATATTGAGGTTTTTGTTTTAAGCTCCATACTAATTCCTGGTAACACCTTTAGAAGAGAGTCTGCTGACCYCTTAGGAAATACTTTATTCATTTCAGCAGGAAAAGCTCTTTTGCATGGGAAAGCTTAAACATGTTGCAGCATATTGAGTTTTTGAAGTCATTGCTTACCTACTACTGTAGCAACAACTTCAAAGCAGATCAGCTGGTTGTTCTGGAATAATTTTACAAATGGGAATGCTAGCAAAGGCATGTAAGGTGTCTCAGCAAAGATAGCAGACCAGTGAGCTAGAGCTGACAAGGTCCTGTACACAAAGGCAAACAAAGGTTTAGAAAACATCCATCCAAAACCAAACAAAAATATAGTATGTATTTTACAACCACAATATAGAAAGACTGTAAAGTTTGAGACAGATGCAAGATTGTATGAGTTACCAATACAAAATTGCATGAGAGCACTACTATTTCATTTTAAAATTTTCCTTACAGCTGAATCCAGCTACTGGATACATTTCACATCACTATATGAAAATAAAAATCTGTAATATTTAAATAAATACAAATACATATTTTACCTCTGTAGAACTCTTAGCAGTTTCCTGCTTTTGATGGGATACTCTTTGTGAATATTTACGAATGCACTGTGGATTCCCCTATCTACGAGGCTACTGAATGCCAAGTGGTTTTCAGGAAGTTGTAATAAGGAACGCCAAACAAACATCCTGCAATTAAAATGCAGCCTTAGTCAAGCAACTTCTTTCATAAGCTGGTAAACCACAAGCAATTTTATTTTGTGCAAGTAYGAACATGCACACAAAAAATACCTGTACTTGGCTGGATATTCTCCAAATCCTTTCAATAAGGCCTGGAGACGTTTCTTGTTTAATCCACCTGGCAATTCGTTCTACAAAACAGATCAATAAGTGATGTAACCATTTTCTCTTTCTTTGCACTTTAATCAATGAGAGTGGCTAAATACTGAAGTTCTGACATAGTGTAAAACAAAAAAAATCAAACATATTGCTATCTTTTACACAGTTCTACAACATCTTTCAACAACAAAAAGATAATTCAAAACATCATTTATTGACTTCCGAACTCAAAGAACAGCTGCCATTGATTTCAGTCAGAAATACATCAGACACAAACTGACAAAGCTATGAACTATTAAATGATGGATATAGTAAACCATAAAGAATACTGACATAAGAAGTAGATCATATGGTGACACATTAACAGGAACAAATATATAYATTTATAGGTATATAGATAGGTAGGTAGGTAGATAGATGGAAATATACATCTATACATAGACATACATATATATGTACACACACACATATAAGGAACAACATAAATACAGAAATGGCACAGCAATGACAGAGGGATATAAATGTAACAGAAATTAATCTTCTAAATAATAAAGAAAAAAAGGAAATGGATTCTAGGCAGATGTTTTAGAGGTGCCAGTTTGCTTTCTGCAGGGAAGCAGACGAGATCTAGCAAATATCCAGATGTGTCACAAGCTGCTTAAACAACTGCAGAGGTACCCCAAGATGACTGGAGACAGTTTTGCCTGTGTCACATACTGTAGGAGAATGGGCTAAGTAGAGAGAGAAAATGGTACTAAAATTTCCTTAATTCCCACTCTACTCAAATAYCCAAGTGCATCAGTGCCTGAATTTCTTTTTTAAAGCAATGGTAATCATATATAAATGCTGCAGACTGAAGGACAAAATATTTGGAACTTCTTYCTACCTCTTTATTTTCAAGTGATGCATTTGCTTGCAGTTTTAACAATCGGCTTTTAATTTTCCTTCCTTTGGATTTCCATGGCCYCTCTGACCTTTGCCCCTCTGGCCTTCCTGAAGTCACTTTTTTTATCAGTTTATTTGCCTCTGATGTGTACTTGGGCCCATCTTCTACAATCTTGAACAGGGATGGTGGAGGCTAGTATTAAATGCAAATASTTTGGTTAAAATCTTGTAAGAGATTACACAGAAATATAATTTGCTGTTTATTCTATATGCCACATTTTTGAGTTTGATGGCCATAAAAGAAGAATAGAAACACATTTATACCATAAATAAACATATCCAGATTGTATATTCCCGAAAAAGAATCTCCATGAATAAAACTGCTCCATAAGAAGGTTTATGTAACTTCCAAGCTAACTCAAACATCATGTTATTTCCTTCCTTAGCAAACAGTAAAATATAATTGGGATAGTACAGATGTGTATCATGTRCTGTCCAGGCTATTTGCTTTAGTGCGTTGCTCAGTGTCATTAAAATACTTTGCATTTCTATAGGACCAGTTAAAAGAATACAGAAGACCTTTACAAACTTTAATTAGTCTTCAGTGTCAGGCAAGTATTAATTAATTCAATTCTGGAGATTGTGAAAGCAAATGACAAAGTGGATATCCCAGTTCATGTCAAACCGTCAGCAAAAGTGCAAATGGAATGTGTGTGACATCTTCATGCATCCTTCCTYAGCTCCAACTCCATCATTATCCAGAGCAGGTTACTGTTTACTTCAAAGACATGATGATTAAAGATATATGGAATTCTGTATTTAGAAACCTGACTCCCATTAATAAATTAATGTAATAAAATAAGAACTGGCATTTAGAATGTTTGTTATTTAGGAAGGATTAGGAGTATGTGTAATTGTGCCATAAATGATGGGTACTGGTATCCAATAACATGGTAAGAAGAACAAAATCACAGTAACAAAAGCACCATTCATGCCCACAGTTTAAGAGAGCATAAGTTGCAAAACATTTTCTATAGGAAATGGAACAGAAACACCACAATTATTCTGTTTCCATCTCCTCCAAAATATCATCACRAAAAGAAACTGATGCACACAAATTGCTGTAGAAAGACCATATCCCCCTTCTTCCAACACCAGTATCAAAGTGATATAGATATCTTAAAAACATCAAGTTACCTGACAGACWGGAGGAACTATGAAGGAAATTGTACAAATCACTTTTTCTTTATTTGTATTGTTAAATACGGCATTTCAAAACGTCTGCAAACTAATGCTGATGCAAAAGATATGCAAATATCAACTTCTAGGGAATTTACYGCTGTTTTAAGAAATGTCAAATACTTTACCTTATTTCCTTCTTGAGTCAAAGCTTGGACACTGTATAAGTTAAGACTTCCATTTTCCATTACTGAGGCAATATACCGTCCATTRGGGCTAATCACTGCTGTACTAATTCCCTCTTCAGGACTCCCAATGTCAAAAAGAAGTTTGCATGTTTCWATATTGATAAATCTCATAATATTATCTTGACTTAACACTCCAAGGACCTGTAAGTTAAAAGGATTCATCCATTAATACTGCCAGCGTAAAATGAAGTGGAACACCCAATTCAGCAATAACATTCCATTAAGCTAAAGCAGCAATTGAGCAAAGATTCAGCACGGTAACTTTCCTTTTGCATCATACGGGCCCATATCCCCAGTGCCCCCCAAAAGCCCTCAAAGTAGAGGTGTTGAATCAACTGATCAAATATTCCTGTCTTAAGCTTTATGAATAAACTGACCTGATTGGAGCCCCCATCAAAACTGTCAGGGAGGAATTCCAGAAGACGGACAGCTCGCACTTTCTCAGGCATCTGGATTATTCTTATCAGCTGCTTTGATTCTAAACACCATAARTGAAGATGATTTGATTTCCCACCAGCTACCAAAGTCCGGCCATCCCTGGATCACAGATGAGGTAAAGTTTCCATAAGCACACTACAATTCAAATTAGTGTTAGCTACAGAGAGAGATAGCATATTTTGTTCTATGCCCTAAAATCACTTTTGAATCAGCCATTATTCCTCTGATACTCTCCTGAAAGAACAAAATAGATTTTAAATAATAAAATTTGCTTTAGCAAAGAATAGTTTAAACTTTATTTTAGTGGTCACTAAAAACCAATCTAATTTATTTCAACTGCTATGGGACTATAATAAAAACTGCTATTGATCCTTGCTGAAAGGATCAGTCACAGCAGAATTCAAAGGCTTACCATATATTGAGTACATATATCAGTACTTTCATAAAATACTACAAATAAAGAAAAGAGAACCTGTTTAAAACCATGATTTTTTAGTCTGCCTTYAGAATTTTTAAAATAGCAATTTACCTGGTAACTGCAAACACCTTATAAAATAATACAGAACCTTCTACAGGAGTTGGYAACTGGTATTTACAATGAAGAGTATCAAATTCCCAAACAAAAATAGAATTATCTTTGAAACAGCTGAGAATGATGTTGCTCAATGGAAGAAAAAAAACCTGGAAGAATATGGAAAAGAAAAAAAAATTGGGATGTTGTCAAGAAAGTACATTTTAAACCAACCAAAGTGCATGGCAAAATAAAACATGGCAGGTGTGGCTATTACTGTAACTGTGCAAGACTTGGATCCCACAGGGAGCCGGTCCCTGTCCCGTGTGACAGCCTAGAGAGGAGTAGGCTTGCTGTCTTTGTATTGGTTAAAACTTGTTGTACCCTTTRGTAAGCCAGTTTAGCTCACTGAAATAACAGTTAAATTCTATCTGCCTTATTTTTGTGAGTGTTAAGCTGCATTGTTCCTGATGAGTGCCAAAGAGGATGCAATTTAAACGCTGGGGACATGAACCCAGGAGCAGCAGGGGATGACATACWTGAGCCAGAACTGCTCAGTCAAAAACTGCCTGCTGCATGTTCTACAGACTACCTTCAGCATTCAAATAGTACTAAGAGCCTGCAAATGCACTCTGTGAAGCATTCATCTTTAGACTTTTAACTCCTTAGTTTTATATACAACTATTAAAAGTAAAAAACATTGCGGAAAATTTGGCAATGTATTCTCCAACTAAGAAATTAAGATTTTATTTTGAGGATGAATGAAGATGAAACAAAAAGTCTGCAAATATGTATTATTTTCAATTATTCTCAACAGATTTATTGTTTATATGTAATCTGTTTMAAAAAAGAGAAAACAATTGGATTGTATATATTTTTGAATGTCATCAGGTACWTTCTTGCTTAATGATAAATTACTGGTTTAGACCAGAGGTTTCTATTTTGGCAGCAGATGTGCAGCTGCAGCAAATTCCTAGTRTCTATAATTTTGAAGGTTAAACCAAAAAAGTCTTCTGGTATCTGAATATTGATGGCCTAGCTGAAGTATTCACTGGCTGTGATTAACAGTCTAYAAAGTTCATAGTTTTGGTTTGAATGGTCTCTTGGGGCCTTGAAAATCTGGAAATCTGGRTACATGGGGTGGGTTTCATCTTAGTGACTGAAATTTGGACATTCAAGAAAAATGAGTCACTTGACAGTGAGCAAAAGTTACCTGTGGGACAAAGAGTCAYCTCAGCTACCAGAGTCATTTATCTTCAGACAGACTGAGCTGTCTGTCCTCCTTCAGGGACCCCGAGGAAGACCAATGAATTGAGAGCAGCTGAATGCAGTTTAAATTTTGGTAAACTGGAGTACTGCATAGTTGCTAATTTTCTGCTTTGTCATAGAAAAATACTACAGGATGGTCACAAGCAGCCGTTGAAAAATCAGTGTTGCTTTGAAAATGGTCMCTGTGGATGTGTTGTCTTCTTCTCATTTGTCTCACCTGCTGTCTGTTCCCTGTGCAACTCAAGTCTTTGTCTCTTTAAATGAGCTCTGCCCCATACCTAATAGAAGGTTGCTGGAGTGCAACTGGGCTTAAGGGGCATCAAAAACCACACAAGACTGGTGTGACACTGCTACACTGGCTAAGAGAACAAACAATAATCCAGCTTTGCACACTGAGTGTCAGGCCTGTGGTCTAATAATAAATCTAATCTTCAGTAAAGGACTTATTTATCTGTATGTCTTCGATTATGGCATGAGAGTAAGTACCATTATTCAAAAGACAGGAAAATGAAATCYAGATTATTTGCATAACATCCTACGTAATGTACCACCAAAACCAAGAGAGCAGGTTCTCATTTCCCAAACATGATCTATTAATTCAGTCATAATCACTAGTTTGGCTTTAAAGGTTRTTTCCACACTGATCCTACCAAATTCCAAGAGCCTTTTACCAATAAGAAGTCCCTACACATAGCCTACAAGAAGAAAATACTGAGAAGTAGAAAAATCTTGTGTCCACTACAGAAATGTATCCCTCTTTGGAGGAAAGATGTTATAATTATTTTAGCAACATGAACTATACAATGGTTTAAATAAAACAAACAAACAAACATTTATGGATGATCTTTAACAGTAATTGTTATTTGACTGTTCTAAGGTGACAGAATTTCTGCCTGACCCAGAACTGGATGMGCACACTCAAATGAATAGCCTTCCTCTCTGCAAAAGCAGCATGGCTGTTTAGTGACCAGCCTGATGAGAACCTKGAAGTGGTGTTTGTCAGATTATTCACTGCAGGGCAGCACGTGCACAAGCCATGCTCGGGCACTGTGTCAGGACTTTCTGTAGTACAGACTGCAGTGTGACATTTGGTGGCGCAGGCAGACCTGTTTAAAGCAGCATAATACTAAGGGAGACCTACTTAAACCACTCACTCCCTGACACAAACGTGTTATMCTTCTCCTCCCATGCTGTTCCAGTGTGCAACAAAAGCAAGGAAACCATTAGGCTGAAAAGCAGCAGTTTCCTTTTGCTGAGCTCCTTTTCAGCCTTGATTGCTCCCACATTCAGTGCTTTGTATGCATGGACAGAAGAACAGCTTTGGAATAAGAAGCTGAATGGGGCAGGTGGTGGTAACCATTTGAAGTTACCATGATGACAATACAACTTTTTTTAACAACACCCTTAAATCCCACTATCATTCAGGTTGGAATCAACCTACACAGGTCCACTGAACGCACCCTAGGCCAAAGCAAGGTCAACCTAGAAGATGGCTCCAACTTCCAAGTTAAATTGGGTTAGTCWATGTCATATCGAAGCAAGTTTTGTGTATCTCTTAAGGTGGAGGCTCCTTAAAAGTTCYCAGCAGATCTCTGCAACTATTGAGTCATGATTTCAGTGGCCTGGGTGATGTGATAGGATGACAGGTAAGATGATATGCCCAAGGAAGACAAAAAAGATTCAGCTGTACCTTAAAGACCATTTACAAGCAATGTGATTTTAATATGTGATGTTATACCTCCTGTGGTGTGTTTGTTTTCATCCTTTAGCAATTGCTCTTTACTCACGTTTTGTATACCCACAGACTGACGAACATTCAGCTTTCTTATTCTTTGAAAGGTGTCCAAGTCCCACAGCTGTGCTGTATCAGCAGAAGTAGTAATGGCATACTTGCCCGAGCCATGGACAGAGATGGAAGACACTGAAGAATCATGGCCTCTCATCCAACTAACTAGCTCCTGGCTTTCTGCAGAAGTTGATGAAAAAGATACAAAATTAMTACTTTATTGCCAGCACTATGCTGTGAAAGGGACTTTAAAGCATAACTCGTATACAACCATTTACCATCACAGCCAAATAAACAAAAAACAAAGGTATCAGTCTTCACATGGCTATTAYACCTTAGAGAGGCACAAACTTCTCCTCATCTCCATTTCACARATTTTATAAGTTATGCTCAGTTCTGCACAGAAAGCCAGCTTGCACAGACTTGTTTAATTTAGCCTAWAAATCAATCTTAAAAAAGTGATGAACAACGTGATCAGTTAAGTTCAGCATGCCTCATAGAATATCTGATGTGAACACCCACAGAAGCTGAATGTTCTAGTTAGAATTCTGCACTTGTTTTTACTTGTGGACAGAATGTGTGAATGATTACARAACTATTTACAGGTGCAAAGAAGAATGGTTTAATGACAACTGGCCATGACTATAGAAAGGCAGAGTCAGAAAGCAACACCTCATTAATTCTTTTAGAATCCAAAACATTTTTACACTGTGCACTTCATTCTAATGAAATGGTTCCTCCAACTACAATGTCTCGCACTTGTGACTGCATGACCACTAATCTTCTCTCAGTAACCAAACTGCACTTGTGGCAATTACACTGTTTACACTGGGTGGTTTGCCTGGCAGCCCATGGAGTGGTTCCAGCTATTGCTGCAGCATCAAAGATAGGAAATGGCTATAAAGCAGCTCATAAAGACTAACAGTCAAACTTTCTGCTGTGCCTACAGACATTGCAGTGCTTAAAGCTATCATCACCTGAGAAGTGACATGGGATTAGAGTATGTCTTCTAAATGGGATGGAGCCCATCAGCTAAGTACTAATACTCCCTCTAAGGATAGTTCACCCAGCACTGGCTTAGATGAGTACCATTTGTGTTTCAGAACATTCTTCAGTATGACCTGATATCTGGAAACAGCACTACATAAACATGCAGTACTCTCTGGATAGTGAAGATTCCTGTAAGTCCACCCAAACATCTAAGTTTTGCTGTTGCTGAAAGGAAGAAAGTGCAGAGGATTTCAGACCTTACCTCTGACTCTTCCTCTATTTTGAGGAACATTGTGTTACATTAAAATCTTCATAGATAATCTCAAACTCAAACCCTAAAATTTTAGATGACTGATTCTTACTGCTTTTTAAAAAGATTTAAATCCCATTTATATTTGGATAGAATKGAGACATTAGAACTGCACTTTCTAACAGGTAAAGAATAATTCATGAAGAATTACTTGTCACTGCCCTTTACCATTTGACTTCTAATCAAGACAGAGACACACAGATGGTCTGTGAAGTCAATTTTTAATATWGCTTTTGAATAAAAATATGTAGATCTACTAGAATACTCAAAAGTATTAACATTTCTTTTAGTGTATATTGTCCTTTGTTCAAATATTTTACTGGAAATATARTTAAGAACTTGTTCAGTTGCAAACKAACATACTGTCAACTGGTTTTGGTTTAATAGAGTACCTCATTCTAAGCAAACATATAAAAAACTACTTAAAAAAAAGGTAACATACGTAATTCTGTGGTGGACTTCAGTTGTCTGTGTGACTCAGTGGAAATAAAAAACTCACAAAGCAAAGGGTTCATTTAGGTTCATTTACCCACAGGACAATAACCAACATGGGCCCAAACKTTTCTTTTTCAGACAGATGGCATGAAATACATAGTATTTCCATAAAATAAWCTACCCAAAAATTTAAGACCAAAACAAAAATTGTATGTTTTCATGCCAGTACAGACAGCATCTAAGCTTTGAAATTTCTCCTTACCTGTATCAAAGCACTTAACAGAATAATCTGCCAAAGCCACAAGGAACTCTGTCTTTCTCCGAAGATTAAATGCCAAAGCAGTGCAAGCTTGCATTGTTCTCTGAACAAGGTTGAACCTATTTAAAAACACACATTCTCATCRTACTAGGAAACTTTGGTTCATTTGATGTCAAGTGAAGTAACAACTTAATCAGTTTCAATGTMTTTCACAGAGAGAAAAATAAATCAACTCAAAAAAAGGGAGTAAGTAAATCATATCCAATTATAACAGATCTAAAAATCAGTGCTAGTATTTTAAAACTCAGTAATGAAAAGCTGAAAGACTGGTTGATAAATTTTTGCAAACAAAAACACTAGGTCTAGTCTACTGCAATTCATGGCTTATCCATTGAWCCATACTGGCCAAATGATAACTTCTGGTGGTGGCATTTAAACTCTATGACATTGCTGTTCAGCTTACAGTTACAAGCCTCTGATCTTTTTGAGCAGCTATACCAATGAAAAAATATTTAGGGATCCTATATAAGACACTGGGTTGAAATTTCAGCCTTGAGCAGATGATTAGCTATTTAAAACTATCTAGTTAGAACCCGACCTGTGGGATCCTGTYCAGGCAAGTTCCACACCCCTGAATGCTACAGATGTCTCAGACAATTAAAATGTCTCGATAAAAATATTCTTACCTGTTCCCATTCAAGTCAAAAACATATATATTCCCTTGGCGGTCTCCAGCGAGGAGAGAATCCCCRGAACTGTTGAAAGCCACATTCAGAAAATGTATTGTCTTTGAATGGTACCCTTGGACACTATGAATGATGTTTACTATAATTCTGTGAAGAAAGTCAGCAAAACAACCGTGCTGAGAATCATTTATTACCATGCATATCTGCAAGATATAGGATTAAAATGTTACTATCTTATGATTTTACAATGCTGATATTCCATGTTCTATGAAATATGTTCCATGAAAATCATGTATTTCTTATATAAAAAATATACCCAAATGAAGTAATTCACTGGGTTGGAAGGTAGGTAGGAGACACGTAAAGCAGATTGGGTAAATTCACCATTCATGATCCTTTTGTGCAGTTCCTGGCTACCTGATTTCCATTATGAATGAATAACACTAATATATGCTAAGGTATCATCTACCAATGAATCTGAAACTCCAATTCAGTACTCAGCAAGAAACCTGGCTCATCATTACCACTGCAAAGAAACATGCCAGAAAACTGAGAAGYTGTGCATTACTGTAAGAAACCACTCTGATTAGGTATGGGGAAAATCAGCTTCAATATCACTTCTTTTCAGAGCCTTCAAAAGCATTGGGATTGTTAAGCCCAGAAAAGAGAAGGCTCTGGGGTGACCTATTTGTGGCTTTCTAGTATCTGAAGGGAGCCTATAAGAAAGGTGGAGAGAGACTTTTGGCAGAGGCCTGGAGTGACAGGGTAAGGGTGAATGGCTTCAGACTGAGAGTAGGTTTAGATTACACATTGGGAAAAAATTCTTTACTATGAGGGTGGTGAGACTTTGAATCACAGACACTTTCCCAGAGCTGGGGATGCTCCCTCGCTGGAAGTGTTCAAGGCCAGGCTGGGTGGTGCTCTAAGAAACCCGGTCTAGTGGAAGGTGTGCCTGCCCATGGCATGTGGGTTGGAAGAAGAGGATTTTTAAAGTCCTTTCCAACACAAACCATGCAATGATTCTATGAAAAAGCCTTGTTTACTATTATTCATCTGAGATATTAGAGAAGAAATGGTTTCCTATTTCTATCCTTGCATGATGCTGTCCACATAAAATGGAGCTCAGTGCAGAAACATGCAGAATAGGCTGTAAAGAAGGTTTTCCCAGGAAGCAAGACATCAAGATTTGGGAGACATGCTACTCCTGGATTTATTGTCTAACACTAAGCAAACCAATTATTTTCTATTATCATTTGGATGYAAATTCACAGTCAAACTAAACACCTAAAAGTGTGCAGGATATTGGCAGGGTGTTTTAAGAGTGCAGAGCTCTTGCAGAATGCTCTGGCCAAGAACAGAAGATGTTCAACAGAAGATGGCCAAGTTACAGAAGATGCTGATAACTTTCTGAGACACTGGATATGCTACCCAGAACTTRCATGCGGTTGTGCATATTGCAAGGACTTGCATATTACAAGGACTGAGTGAACACCAGAAAAAAAGGTCATACAGCCATGGTGTAGACTAGAGACAAAACTAATTGCACCTCACTGTTAAGCCCTTGTTTTCTTCAACAAAAGCGCCACAAAAAGTGAAATTAGAAAGATATTTTAAATTATAATTAAAATCTACTGATGTGTGTGGGGGGTTATGACATTAAAGACCCTAACATATGAAGTATAACTTCTGCTTCTTGAACCACCCTGGAACACAAGTATTTATCACTGCAGCTACAGCACCTCCCATGACCTTCGCAGCGTTGTTCTCTGACTTTTAAAAGATTCCCTGCCACTGAACGCAGGAAAACAGTTATGAGTTCAAGGAGCTGCACCCAGAACTCCCCAGCACAGAGGCAACCAAAGCAGCGTTTGTGCTGCTGCTCTTCAGTTTAGACCAGGCAGTATTTACACAGCACACCACACTGCGATTAAACTCTGGGAATTTCCTCATGGCATTTTATTCAATACAACCGAAACCGAAGCACTGAACTGGGGTAAGTGCCCAGCSAAGCTGTGAGCAGCCTAAGCATGGAGGTTTTACAGCCTCCTTGAGGACCTGTTCTGCCTTCAAGAGGGCATYTCATTAATGCAAATAAATATCTCAAAGGCGGGAGCCAAGGGGATGGTGCCAGACTCTTTCCGGTGGTGCCCAGAGACAGGARGAGGAGCAAAGGCCCTAAACTAAAACACAGTAAGTTTCACCTCAACATGAGAGAACTTTTTTACACTTAGGGTGGCAGAGCACTGAACAGGCTGCCCAGGGAGGTCATGGAGTCTCCCTCTCCGGAGACATTCCAAACCCACCAAGACAGGTTCCTATGGTAACCTGCTCTAGGTGACTCTGCCTCGCAGTGGGGTTGGACTGGATGATCTCTAGAGGTCCCCTCTCATCCTAACAATTGTGTAATTCAAGAGGAATGTGCTCTTTCATTATCTAACCGGGTATCCCCGGGCTGCCCTTTTAACTACCCTGCAGAGGCTCAGGCGGGCCCGGGCCGGCCCTGTCCMGTTCGCCCGCTCATCTCGGGCAGTCTCCTCCCCCGGCCCGGCCCCGTTACCCCCGCGGTGCGGCCGCCCCGGCCTTGCGGGTCCAGACGGGCCCGTGCCGCCGATCGCCCAGATCGCAGCGCTCCATCCCCGCCCGGCGCCGCCGCTCCCGCGCTGCCCTCACAGCTCCGCCCACGCTCCGCGCCGGGGGGCGCCGCACAKGTGGTACAGCCCGCTCCGGCTTCACCAATGGAGAGAGCCGGAAGGGGGAGGACCACCCCCCCCCCTTATATATCGGGGAATAGACCCACCCCCAACTGCAGCCTCGGGGGTTGCTGGGAGTTGTAGTTTCCCTGGGGGGAGTCGCGCCGGGGCSTGGGTAACAACGGAGGAGCAGAGCACGGCTAGTGCCGGGCTATCAATRAAGTGGAGTAAAAACGTCGCGTCCTCGCAGGCAAATGTATTTATAACGCAGTGTAATAGGTCACTCAGAACACGGCTTTTGCACGTTGTCGCGGGCGCAGGACCTGCTGCCGGTTCCCTCCTGTTCCCCACATTCCSCATTACAAGTCCCTTTCGGTGAAAGGGCCACTAGCTAGCCCGAAGGCCTCGTCTCCCGGTAGCGGCGGATCGCTCCCCGCTCCACCCCCGGGCGGGACACCCGGCGGCCGGGGCGGGGCCGGAAGCGGCGGCGGCGGCTCGGCCGAATTCGGTGGCGCCACGTCTGGCTCGGGGTCTCCTCCGTGACCGGGCGGCGGCGGGAGCGGCTGAACTTTCGTCTCGTCTCGTCTCGTCCTCAGCGGTCGGTTTGGCGAGGCCTCGGCGGCCAGACGTAGCGGCGACATGTCGGACCTGGGGGACTGGTTCCGAAGTATCCCGCTGATCACCCGCTACTGGTTCGCYGGCTCCATCGCCGTGCCGCTCGTGGGCAAGCTGGGCCTCGTCAGCCCCGTCAACCTTTTCCTCTGGCCCGACGCCTTCATCCACCGCTTCCAGGTACGGGCCTCACTACCGCTCCCGGCGTGCCCCGCGGCGCCAGCACCATAGCTCAGCGTGGCCCGGTGCGCGCACGGCCTTCTGGGAGCTGTAGTGCACGGCTGCGCTGCGGGGCCTCGCTTGGTCTGCGCTCGGGGCCGGTCGCTCCCCCGTCTCCGCGGCCGCGCTGGAGGAGCCACGCACTGAGACATTGCCCAGGGGTGGCCGGGGTGACCAGAGCCCCTCCGGCAGGAGYTGAGCCGCTTTCCCGCTCAACCTGGACAGGGCCTGCAGGCTCAGCCCGGATTTAGCCGGTGCTCTGCCCGCAGGCCCCGGGCCCCCATAGCAGCGACGGGCTGCGCGCCCCTGCCAGAGTGACAGAAGGAGGGCTCTTGTCCCTGGCAGTCCTGTAGTTCATCTCGTGTCTCATTCTGGCCTGATTTTTCTCAAAATTCTTGTGGGAGTTGTTCTGGCGGGTGTTGGTTGTTGTGCCAAGGAATTCTATGGCTGTGGCTACAGGTGACTTGCCCAGCTCTCTGTCATCGTGTGGCCGTGACTTTGGGAGCTGTWACTGCAGTTACAGGGTATGCGAATATCCCAGACTGCAGGTGGCCCAGGAGCTTTTGAGGCAGAGCTGCAAGAGAGACATGGAGCTCCTGGGGYGGGTCCAGTGGAACACAACAAAGGTGATCAAGGAACTGGAGCATCTCTCTAATGAGGAATGACTGAGGGAGYTGGGCCTGTTCAGCCTCGAGAAGAGACAACTCAGAGGGGTCCTCATCAATTTCAATAAGTATCAAGAAGGGAGGTGTCAGAAGATGGATAAGTGGCTACAGGCAGAAACTGATGCACAGAAAGTTCCATCTGAACTAGGTGACCATGCACTGGAACAGATTKACCAGGGAGGCTGTGAAATCTGCCTCTTTGGAGATATTCAAGAACTGTCTGTGTGCAATCCTGTGTAATGTGCTCCAGGATGACCCTACTTAAGCAGGGAGGTTGGCCCAGATGACCCACTGTGGTGCCTTTTAACATGACCTGTTCTCTAATTCTGTAAAGAGGTGCATCTTTTGCACCTTCTGGTTTGGAAGTTGGTAAAGGTTCTGTTTGGGATTGTCAGCTTCTGTGCTTAGGTATGGTCCATGTACACTAGCAGCTAACACCTTGAGGTGTCAGACATGCCATGCAGTGTTTCTGGGTCCATTAGCAATAACAAAAGTGGTCACAAACTGGACATTCTTTTCCTTGCACTGTGATGTTACAGGTTCAGTGCTGGGAAGAGCACTCTCTGGATTAGTTGAAAATGAAGGAAAATATTTCAATCTTGAAGTTTCTATGATATTGTCCCATTATATCTTCACTGTAGAAGGCTGACTAAAAAAAAGAAAATTACAGCCATGGCTCTATCTGTACCTTGATTCATGTTTTGTCCCCAAAATTTAGTAGCACAAATAACTGGTTTTACCTCTAGTTCTGGTATTCTTTCTTGAACTGTGATTTCAGGATCCTAATACTCAGTTTGGAAATGTTGCTGTTTGAGGAGCGCATTGATGAATGACCAGACATTTTCTGTCCTTGCCACGTGCTGGCATGCAGTTGGCTGTGCCCAAAATTCATAGCTGGGAGACTGTCCCAGAGCAGAACCAAAATGCCCAGAGTAGTGTGTACTGTCTGGAATGGGACACTAAAAGCTGTAAATTCCTTGGCTTCTGTTCAGCAGRGAAGAATGGGTTTTGTATGTCTGTTTTTAAAACAGGGAAGCATCCATGCCAGTGTGTCCCTTTTGCACTGCAGTTAAGATTCACTACTGCAAAGATGTSATGGAAAGCAGCTTGGAAAGTTGATTGTTATTTCTGGTGTAGTCTTAACAGCTTTGCTTATCAGATTGAAAAAAATGGCACAACTGTAAAAGCTGCTGAAGCAGCAGCCAGTGATGCTTGAGCTATTTTTAATCTTCTTGATGTTCCAAGTTTTCATTCATTATCAAGTAATGAATGTAAACAAAAAGCCTGTGCATATGATTTCATTCTGCACTTTATAAATATATCTTTCTCTTTTGATCCGGACAGATCTGGCGGCCGATAACAGCAACTTTCTTCTTCCCGGTGGGACCTGGAACGGGATTTCTCTACTTGGTGAATTTATATTTCTTGTATCAATATTCATCAAGATTAGAAACAGGTATGTTATGCATTCARTTGTATGCACCTGGTGAGCTCTGCCTGGAGCTGATAAGAGATGGCTCATCTCTGTGCCCACTTATATTGGTCAACATGCAACTGCTCTGAAAACTGATTTTCTGTGGCTGTCTCCTTCCCTTTGGCCATTTAGGATCCGGACTTGACACTTGTTTCAGAAGGAGGGCCTGGTGCATTTAGTTGTTGGATTTCAGGAAGTTGAGTGAGACAAACTAAAAGATGATGTTTACTTTTATTTTTTTATATCTGATGTCTTTTATCAGAGGGAGGTTAGAGCATAGTGTAGTAATGGGTTTACCCATTGGGAGATAATAATCTCAGTTTTTCGTGTTTTAACAGGGATGCTTACTTGTGTTATTCTATTGTTCATGTTGAATTGAGAGCTACCTTCTACAAAGGAAGTCTACCCCTCTGCCTAACAGATATGTGGAAAAGCTAAGAAACTAGAAGGATTTTATGTTACGAGGGAAAATTAAGTGAAAAAAAGGAGATCAGATAATGGGTCGTTTCTCTCAAAAAAAGGGATTGTTGGTGCAAGGTAGCTTGAAAACTGGTTTCCTTTGCACTGCCCAGTTCATTAAAGCTAGACAAAAATTGGTTCAATTGACATAAAAAAGTATTTGTAAAGCCAGACTCCTCCTGAAAGCCTTTGTGAACAAGAATTTCAGTATGGTACTAATGAAGTCTTAGAACTGATGGTGTAAAGGGGAACRCATTGCAAGGTGATGTTTGGGAAGTCCCACGAGAGAGGAGATYCCTGGTAGACCTGCCATCCAGAGAGTATTGTGGAATCATATTTAAGTCTTAAGAAGAGTCGCAGGGAAAGGGAGGAGTAGTGCCAGATTATGTTTGGTTGTTTTTTTAGTGAAAGTTAAGTACTTTAATAGCTATAAACGGTTCCTGCTTCTCTTTGAGMCTTTCTGCAGTAGATTATGAGCACATGAGTGTGCTGGCAGTTCTGACTGGGCAAAGATAGGTGTAGCAAGAGCTCCTGGTTTATTATGCAAACTAAAAGAGCTCACTGCTTGTAGATATACTACAAAATGCTCTAGTTGCCTGTGCTGTGGCATGTATCTCATGAAAGGGAATAAATTTCTGCATGTGGATTTTGAAACTGGGAAGTCAGCTGTGTTGTTTGATCTAATGCATTTCTTTTATATTGCACTTATTTTTCTGGGTATAAATGAAGTCCTTGGTTAGGTTGACCTTTCTGTAAAAAAGGCTTGATTCYTTCTGCATTTAAAAGGTGTATACGTAGCTGATAAAGTTTACAGGCAGAAGCAGCATTGGTCTATGCCTCCTTCTGTTGTGAAACTGAGAAAGTGGAACTTCTGTTTTCAGCATTATGTATAGTTTTTGAGCATACACTGTTGCTGCATGCAAGCTTCAAATTTAGCAGTCAGAAATATCCATATGGTTTTGTGTTGTGCTTGTACTTTCCTAACAGGCTGACCTGTAACTTCTGAAGGAAAGGGAGATTGATGTGTTTTTGTTTTGTTTTGGTTGGAGAAGAACATAACAAGTATCAACAGAGTAAGCAGAATATGCAGATTTCACTCCCCAGCAGTATGAATGATAGGATTATGGGTCTGCAGCTCTTCCCAGATSACTGGATTATACCCTGGGTTTTATGGCAGGACCCATGGGATAGAGCTCACCCTRCACTGGTGCTGAGCTTTCTGGCAGTTTGTAGTCCACTTTCCGTAGATATTCATTGAAAAGTCAATTTAAATATTCTTGTTAACAATTTCCTAGATAATGAGAAGTGAAAAAATTTAAGAGAATAATTATAACTTYGATTTCTTCCTGTTTTGGAAGGATTCCTGAGCTGGCGTTTCTACAGCCTTAGTCAGCTTTTTCTCTTTATTTGTTTCTATTTGTTGTATGGCAACAGTAAGGAAGAAAACTTCAGTTTATGTAGTTTTAAAACTTTAAAACTTTCTGATATATTTTTCAAAGTGGCTTTTTTCCTGTCATGCAGTTGCATTGGCTGGACTTACCTAATATTACTGATATTTTAGTTTTCCATTGGCTATTCTAAAAAGCTAATGCTTAAAAGTAGATTTTCTTCCTTTAAAAATACTTGYATGAATCTGACCAGTGCTAACATTAAACAGTGGCATTCTTTCTAGGCATTTTGATGTTTAATTAAAAGTATGTAATTCAGCTTGTCCATGATGTGCTGAGTGTGTCACTGTCATTCCTGCTGTCACTGTGTTTCACCCTCACCAGTCTGGGTCTTTTTCAGCAATATTATCAGGCTTTCTTTGCCTGCCTGGGTTTTTTATGAAAGTTGATGGGAGTCTTGTACAGATGCCGAGTTCTCTGCCAGCCTTTTGCCACAGTTAACAAGAGTGAGAGCTTCAGATTTTCATGTTTGCAGGGAGTTAGGGAGTTATTTTTTTTAATCAATGTCCATGTCRGGTCTTAAACTCAACTGAGCATCTGGAGATAATTTCATTTAATAYGACCTGCAGGGAATGTTACAGTATTATTTTTGTTTCCTGTATACTGAAAAAAATGACACATATTTGAAATGGTGCGTTAGACAAGCAGGGGAGTTTGTAGAGAAGAAAGAACAGAATGTGCTGCACATGTGTACCCTCCTTGCCATGTGTTCTAATTTTTTCTGGAGTATCAAAACTGTATCTCCTGAGTCTGACTACATGATGCAAAGAGGATGCAATTTGCCTAAGTAAGGGCTGGTTTTCACATGAYTCAGTCATTAAATTCGGTGTTTCTGCTTTTGCTGTGCACATGTATTTCCTTATTCTGGGCTTCTAACTCGCAGTTTCATACAAAGGAYGGCATCCAACTCCATTTTGAAGTATTATGTAGTTAAAACTACTTATCTCCAGAGTCAGTGTGTCCTTTTTTAAGTATAGACACTGCTTGTGCTCTAATACAGTAGGCTGAATKTCTTACTTTTTAGTCTGTAGGTTGTTCTATTCTAAGGCTTTTTAAAATTAAAAAAAAGAAATAGACCACAGACTGCATGTAAAGCAACTGTTACTGAGCTTTCTTAGACTCTGAAAAATAAAAGTTGTGTTTGTTTTTTGTCAAAATTTCAGTACCTTTCATAATTCTTTTTATTTTCAGGGGCTTTTGATGGAAGGCCAGCAGATTACATGTTCATGCTCCTGTTTAACTGGATCTGCATTGTTGTATCCTTCTCATCGTCAAAGTTTGAGAAATATTTTGTTCTCCTGTTTCTGCCTGTTTAAAGACCAGTTTTATCAAGGAATTATTTTAAAATGTAGCAAATGTTCCAGGGGGAGYCTGTGGAGTTTGTAAGTGTGTAACCTTCCTGAAAAGGTAATGAGTGGCTTGCAGGGAGGACCCATATAAATGTGCTTACCAGAGTGTGCAATGTGGGGACTCGAGTTCTGCCTCTGCAGATCTCAATGTGTGATGGTTGAGTGTCCCTCGTGTTCTCTGGGTTCCTTCACTGAGCTGCTCTTGTGTGGGCTAAGACTGACTTTAGTGTGTTCAAGCTGCTAATGTGCAAAAAGGACTAATCACTGCCATTCCATGAAAATTATGGAGGGATCTTTTACCTGCTGGGTACAAATCATCTGAGTCTGTGAAAGCARTGTTGTATTATCAGCACTGAGCCAACTTCCTGAGGAAGCTGGGCTTSTAGGTTTGGGAATGCTGGGAAACACTATTTCCATGAGCTATGCAGTTCCACCTGAATTTTCTTTTAGATCTTGAATACAAAACTGGGAGGAGTTGTTGATAAACCAGATGGTTGTGCCACCATTCAGAGGGATCTTTAGAGGCTGGATAAATGGGCTGCTCAGGAGCGAAGCTCAGCAAAGGGAAGTGCAGATTCCTGCTCTTGGCAAGGAACAGCCTCAGGCACCAGGACTGACAATCTGCAAAGCRTCTTCCAGAAAAGGCCCTGGGTGTCCTGCTGGACACGAAGTTGACCATGAGCCAGCAATGTGCCATTAGGGCCAAAGTGGCTACCAGCCTCCAGAACATTGCCCTCAGTTTGAGGCAGGTGGTTGCTCCTGTCTGCTCAGCCTTTGAGAGATGCATGGTGGGGGCTGCATGCAGCTCTGGATTCCCAAGTAACAAGGGAATATGGACATGCTGGAGAGAGTCCAGTCAAGGGTCACAAAGATGATTAAAGGGTTGGAGCATCTGTCACATGGAGAGCTGGGATTCTGCAGCSTTGGGGTGTCATCATAGAATCACGTGGCAGCTTGAATTGTAAGTGACCTTGAAAAGTTATCAACTCACCTGCAATGAGCAGGGACATCTTCAACTAAATTGGGTTGCTCAGAGCCCTGTAACCTGTTGAATGTTTCCAGGGTTGAAGCATCCACCACCTCTCGGGCAACCTGTGCCAGTGTTTCCCACCCTCATTGTAAAAAAAAATATTTCTTACATCTAGGCTAAATCAAGCTTYTTTTAGTTTAAACCATTACCACTTGTCCTAATACAAAAAGCCCGACTAAAAAGTTTGTCCGCAACTGTCTCAATCTTTCCTGAAAAGGGAGGTTTTCCAGTCCTCCAATAATTTGTGTGGGCTTCCTCTGGTCCAACTCCAACACATCCATGTCTTTTCTGTGCTGAAGACTCAGGAGCTGGACACCCAATTCCACAAAATAAGGCAGAGGACATTCCATTTAAATGTAAGACTGTTTTTACTGTAAGGGCAATGAAACACTTACATGATTGGCAAGGAGGGGGTGGAACCTCCATCCTTGCAGATGTTCCTGTTCTGTCTGTGCTCTTGCTGTCTCCTTGTAGCAATTTGTGGCGGCACAGCATGTGGAAAAAAGGGAGCAGTGACATTGCTRTGAACCAGATAGCAGTCAGGAGAGCTGGCGTGTAGAGAAGCTTTATCAATAGATTATCTCTAGTTGCATTCCACTATATGGAGTGAGTTGCTATTCCTGCTGGTCCTGTTGAGCCACAGCTGTAACAAGATGCATTTAGTTACGTRTAAGATGATGGTTTTCTTTGATTGCAAGTCGTTGGCTGTGAGCATTTAGTTAATCTAATTGTGACTTGACTTTCAAACTGGTCATTTAAAAGCTTCCAGTTGCTTGTTCTCTATATGGTGTAAGGACTAACSTGGATGCATGATCTGGGAAAATGCTGGGTGTTATTTTATATGTATTCATGAACTGTTAAAAGCATCTTGATCATATTAAAATTGTTCAGTGATTGTTTCTACTCAGCAGTTACTACAACAGATTCTTTGAGCRCCTTGGTGGGAGAGGAGTACTAAAAGCCTGCATTGTTGCACTTTAAGAAATAGCTTCTTATCTATGACTCATTGGCAATATATTGGTATTTTTTTAATAATCTGGTATTTCTTCAGTTAGAAAATCAAAATGTCAGTGTTAAACTAATGAAAGAATCTGTTGTTGTTTAACTTTAACGTGCCTTTATGCAAGGACTGACTGAGTCTCTAACCAGCCAGTTTCATCAGGGAGGAAAAGCCAGTGCACCCATCAGCCCTTGGGGTAATGACTTGAGGTGGGAACTTGAAAGGCTGCCAAAAAGCAGTTATTGAAACAAAGCTTGTACATCTCTAGATCATTGGAAATTTAACTTAAAACAGTGTAGTATTAATTTTGAACATTAAAGATCTTCRTATGTGGGCTCCGTGTGTCTGCAGCTTATTAATGTTGTAGTCTGTCAGGTTTTTCTGCATTTTCCTTCATGGTGTGATGACAGATAACTGGCTTGGTGATGGACATGCAGGTAAGTGTGGTGCAGTTTCTTAGATAATAATTTTACAAAACTTTATGACTACTTAATGACCTTATAGAGAGCATTATTGACTTAACTGCCAAACATAGTTAAGTAGGCTGTTCATTTAAGTCAGAATGGAGAGCTGTGTGTGTATTGTTAATTTTTAGTTTGGATTCATCTCAGCTGAAGGCATAAGCTTGGATCTRACTGCCACACCTAACCCAGTTAGGGAGCCAAGAAGTAAAAATTGACTTTGTGCAGTTAGGAAGTGCTCAGACTTTTACCAAAATGGACACAAGATGTCACCTATGCACTATTTCTTTCAGTGAATGTGGGTCTGCTTTCTTATTTTTCTATTTTAAAATTATGCTTAGGTTTATAAATCTCAAATTTAGTTTAGTATGCCTGTTGCTTGCCAACAGAAGATTTTTTTGGTGAAAAATGCAGCTTCAGTTTGAGATCAGAGCTGTGAAGTGCAAAATCATCACAGGAATGATTAAGATAGTCATCTTAAGAACTTAATTCAACCATTTCAATGAAATAATTCTTATCTCCCCAGATATTTAGGGTGAAAATTGGGAAGTGTTTTTGGACACAAGAGAGTGTCAGATAATTGCATGTCTTCAGTCTGCCTCTGCTATTCTTGTCATCAGTTGTCTCCAGCACCTAAGGACTGTACCAATATCTGTAGTATTCTGTACAGAATTATCTTAGCATTTATTAGATCACTTACCTGGCTCCCTGGTAGAYAAAAGCAGCGATCATGCATCTCTGGTCAGGAGTGAATTGTGTTAAGGGCTGTCCATAACTTACACTTTTCTGTGTGGAAGATGCCACAAAATTTTAGAAAAGCATACTGAAATCACCCACACATTATACAAATTTTAGACTGATTGTGTTGATTTGTATATTTTGGAAGAGGTAYTTAATTTTTTTTATCTGCATACAGAGTATTGCTTAAAGAAGTATCAGTTGTTTGATGTAAAAGTATGTTTTTTCTTAAAAATAAGGGCCTTTTTGCTTGAGTGGCCTTTGTTGAAATTCAGAAGATAGAGTAGGATAGCTGGGCCCCTATTCCTAAGTCAAATGCTTTAAGGTATTAGATATTGCTTTTATTTTCAGTAAAATAAGGATTTTAATAAAGACCCTATGGTTCTTGTSTGGGGAGTCAGAGTGCTGGTGCACCATGGGGCTTTTGAAAGGCTGGGTGCCAGCTTTAATGTGGAACCTGTTGAATAGAAGCACCTCTGAAGGRATGAGTTTTAACCTTTTTTTCCAAACACAGGAGCTGGTTCACAGCATTCAGCCAGCTCATGAAAATGTTACTGATGCAGTCTGCCTTCAGTTCAGAAATCAGCAGATAGCTAGAGCRGTGCTTTGTATTTGTTTCACTAGAAATAGTTCAGTCAGCCAAWACAGAGTCAAAGTAAAAAAGTACTTGAAACAACCTCATCTCCTGGCATGGAGCTCAGGTTAACTCCAAGCTCTACCAAGGAGGCTGTGCCAAGGCTGGCTGTGCACTCTGAAATGGGGATTCACTGGAGCACCTCCCTGCTGTGTTGCTCTCAGGAGGATGAGGATGTAGGTGGCAGTTGCATGGATAACACTTCATCTGGCATAGTAACTTGGCCCCAGATGAGTGTGTTTGGGTCAGTGCCCTGGAAATTATTTGGCACAGGTACAGGGCCAACTGTGCTGTTGGTGTAGGTGGGATCAGAGGAGTTCCCCACAGCTGCTCTTTCATTTGGCACTTTGCTTTGGCATGGTCCTGCAAAAGAGAATTGGCAAGTAGATTCTCCTCCTTAACTTTCTCAATCTTTTTAAAACAAATCCATGGCACTAGGGGAAAAGATTCTGGGGCAATCTGTAAAGAGTTCAGTGATGTACCATGCTTACAAACCACTTTTGAAACATAGCTCCTGCTGCCTGAGTTTCTTGTGCTTCTGTGAAAGTAATGTTAACTTATTTTTTAAAAAATTTCAGTTGCTGATGATTCCACTCATCATGTCAGTACTTTATGTGTGGGCCCAGCTGAACAGAGACATGATTGTATCATTTTGGTTTGGAACAAGGTTTAAGGTAGGTCAGACATGATATTGGAAAGATTTCTACCTGTAAGGTGCATGTGTACTGGTTGAAGGGTAAAATATAAATAATTTCTCCTATTAAAGGTGTCCTGCACTCTCACATAGCTGAATACTCCTTGAGATGCAGCATAAATTTCTTCATTGTCTTCATACTCAGTGTGGCTTTGCCAAAAAGATGTCCTGACAATTCACTCTTCTGAAAAAAAGGAAAAAATTCCTGATRAACATTAGCCTGGATAAAACCTGAATACAATGACAAAATATTGGTACTTTAAATTGGGGTTTTTTTCTGTGTGACTTGGTCTGTTTCTGCCAGATCCTGTAGTGAAGACTTTTGATCATTTCCGACCTCTTCAAAATCGAAAACTTTAAGACTTTGTTCCAGATGCAAACTTGCTGTGAAACATAGGGTGCAAAAGGCTCTGATTATAATGAGGCATTATTATAATAATGCCTCAATTATAAGGCATTGCTTATAATGCTTGARTAAGTATGTTTTGTCTAAAAATGTTAATGGTTGCTCAGTTTGGAGTAACCTTGGTTGGTTGAATCTGCTTAAGTTAATAGATCAGGACATGTATGATGCCTACAGCATTGAGATTATGATCGTGCTTGTTAGTGCAGTGGGAAGTTGAGAGCAGGTTTRCATCCTCAACTTGTACTTACTATCCCCACTTCATTTTTTTGCAGGCCTGTTACCTTCCATGGGTTATTCTGGGATTCAACTACATCATTGGTGGATCGTATGTATTTACTTATATGGCCAATTTGAAGTTGTAAGAGCTTTTACAGCTATCTAACTTGCTGCTGAATTTAGGAGTAATATTAAAATAAGAAGCTTAAAGCTGTATAATCTGACTGATAATGCTCARTGTCAAATGGTGGTCATTTAACATAAAAGCAAAGAGATGTGCATGTGAGAACTAGAGACTAGAATGTAGGTGAGGGGAAAGTAGTGAGAGTTTGGTGTATTTTCTAGTAACTCTATGCATTAGGCCTTCTCCATATTATAAAAGAAACACACAGTAAAGAAAGATGTCATCCCCCTGGGACCAGCCGGTTTTAGAAATAAATTTCCACTTGATTCTGATAGTGTTAAGAGTAGATACTGTTACTTCTTTCCCTCCCAGACTTGTCCAACCTCATCCTTTTTCTCAGTTTGTTAAACAAGAGAAAATGGCGTTAAGCCCATAGAGTGCCATATGAGCACTTGCTGAATTTTTTGGTGTCTCTTGGGGTTTTTTTTTTACTAAACCCTGTGATGCAGAAATCCCCTCTGTGCACAGTCTGCCTCATTGGAGCCCTGCATTGACTGGGGCCTCTTGGTGCCGCTGTAACATAATTAGTGACAATAACAAGTTTGTGGTTGAGTTATAAAAGGAGGAGATAGTACAGGAAAACYAAATTCCCTTTTCTGGCTGTGCCTCCTACTGACTCATCCATCACTTGTGAAAAGTGCTTGCTGTTAGATACCTGCTGTTTCTATGCATGACAGAAGATACTCAAGGGCCTCCAGTCAGCAGTGTTCTTGCAAAACTGGGAACAAAACAGTTCAGTACAGCAGGAGACAGGTTGTCCAGTGAAAACAGCAGTAACTTCTCCAGCTCTGCAGACAATTATTTTGGGCACTAATCGCTATACGGTCTAATTCCCCAATGTAAACAAGTATTTAATTGTGTTTTCAATAYAGACTGTAGAGGAGGCTTGGAAGGGAGGGTGGACCAGACTGTTTTRTTGGCACAAGAGGTTGGCCCTTTGAAAGAAGTGGCTGCAGAATGTTGACGGAAGGGAAATTTTCTGTGTGTCATGACCCTGACAAAGCCTGGTGGCAGGTGAACAGAAGATAGACACTCATTTATTTTCAGAGAAGACAGCATGTGAAACCATTCTTTTTCTTTTGCTTTACAGAGTCATCAATGAGCTGATAGGAAATCTGGTTGGACACCTGTATTTCTTCTTAATGTTTAAATATCCAATGGATTTGGGAGGAAGGAATTTTCTGTCCACACCTCAGTTCCTGTAAGCTGACTTTATTCTTTACTTCAYTGTTTGTTTGGGGTCCAATTTTTTGTATGGTTAATCAGATATRGATTTGGTGGGGTTGTAAAGTGTAAAATACTTTGCCAAGTCAACCTGCTTCAGACTCTCATATTGACTGAGCTGATGAGTCATAAAAAATGTTGAGTTATTTGTAAATGGTGCATGTGAGCATTCTTTGTTGCCCCTTGGGATGGCTTATGTCTTTACCCGCTTTTAAGAGTGAGAGTAAATGTCACAGTTATGCTATTGAATTGAGCTGCAGTAAAGAGAACTCCCTAACATTTATCAGAAATCATGATAAAAACAAGTTTTTATCCTGTAAATTATCTGTTTTCTGTATTCTTGTGCATAGTCACAGAAGCTACCAGTTCAGCAATGTCTAACAATAAAAGGCAGTTGTAGACTTGTTCAGGACTATAATATGATTCTGCTTTGCWGTCTGTACCCTAACTGAGACTGCAAGTCTTGGTTTCTGAAGTGCTTTTTCAAGAGATATGTTCATTGTTTTGGTATTGAAATACTAAGATCAGAAGCCAAAGTTTGTAGCTTCAGTTGCCCTTGCCCTCATCCTTTTGGGCTGTAAATATTCCTCCTCTGTCAAACTTTAGTTAGAACTCAGTTAGCCCTTTTTCATAGCATATAGTGTTGAATTACAGTTGCACTTTTTGTACAAGTTTCAGTGAATAGGGAAGCTTTATATTCTAATTCTATGCTGGAAGCCCATCTGGTAAACCTAGTTTTCCATAAAGATTAGAAGACAATGTTGTTTTTAAAAATGTCTTTCAAGGTGGTAACAGCTCTGAAAATGGCATCAGTCTTGTTGGTTATGGGCAATTCTCTTGTTACCATACACATCCCAGAGATGGAATTTTCCCAGTATTTCCATCTCTCAGTGTGCTGAAGGCCTTGACTGGGAAAGAATTCTCTAAAGTTCTACTGTGAAAAGCTGGTTTTATTGCAAAGTGTATTAGCTAAAAGGAAGTGCATGGAAAAGCAGTCTGGCATTTACCCCCAAGCTGTGTCTCTAACTCCTTCTCTGGTTTGTCCTAGCTACCGCTGGCTGCCAAACAGGAGAGGAGGAGTGTCAGGCTTTGGTGTCCCTCCTGCCAGCATGAGAAGGGCTGCAGAAGATCAGCAGGGCGGTGGAAGACACAACTGGGGCCAAGGTTTCCGGCTAGGGGACCAGTGAAGAATTCCTGCCCTTGGAAAACAGCAACTCTTTGGTTTCAATTGGACRTAGAACCGACTGTTCCTGGTGCAGAGCATGCTTAAGAACTGAGCTCTCTGTAGTACTCTTGGATTTGACTGATTAGAAAGAAAGAATTTTTCTGGTTGAAGAGCAAACTAAAAACTCCAGAAGGAAAAAATGTAGATCTTGCTCCAGGTTAGCCAGTAGTGTCCAGTGTGATTCTGCCATTAAAAATAAGCCTTCTTTATACAGTATTGTCTGTCATAACAGGATCCATTGGCTGTCCTGTTCCATGATGGAACAAGCTAGTGGTGTTCTGTCTTGCCTGGTATGTTAAAAGCTTTGTTGACCACAGTAAAGTAAAAATCTAGTGTGAGGCAGATGTCTCAAAAAAGCCCCCAGTTTAGGAAGCTGACTTTTTCCATAGCTGTGCTTGAGTCCCATGGTCTTTGGAAACATTATTTAAGTGGTATCTCTCTGCTGCATTTATAAAGCAAATTGCAAATGTTTCATTTCTGTTATTAAGCTGTGTTTTGAGCAGAGCTTTTTCTTGCCATGCAGCATTTGTCCTACCTGCTACATCACGGGCTGGGCAAGGTTAAGGATCAGAGGGCTTTTGATTGAAATGGCAAAAAACAGATACTCACAGAATTGAAGTCTCTCAACTCTTCATGGCRTGTTACAAAGCTTGTTCTGGTGAAACTGAAGTTGTCTGGCTTGTTTTTTCCCCCCAGATCTGTGAATTCTTGGCTTCAAGGTTTCTCTTTTCATTGCCAAATTGGATAGCATAAATACTGCTTAAACTAGAAAATGTAACATTATTGTGGTTAATGTAAAGGGTACTGACTGCAGCGTTGTTTAACTGGATCTTCAGCTTTATCTTAAAAGCTTTAAAACGTTAAAGAATCAAAGCTGGAAATAATCTTTTGCAGGGTGAAGATACAATATAACAGGTTACTGCAGGACTCGCTCATCCTCGAATAAGAAATTGTGTACACTGTTTMTTAGTATCTGTACTTATTTTTGGTGAAATTTTTTGACATGGGAAAGGGGAAAGGGAATGATTTTGTACAGTAGTTTTCCTTGCACTGGTTCCCRTGGGCAGAGCATGTGGCTAAGATGCAGGAAGCTGCAATGCCAGCTTGTTACTGACTCACTGCATGCTCTTGAGCAAACTTCTTACTTATCTCAGTTTTCCCAGCTGTAAGGAGGACTCGTGCATGTCTCACAGCATTCTTACAAGACAGCTGTCCCTGACCTCCCTAGCTGGGAGCTGCTAGTGAGCAAGTAAGGTTTAGGTGTACATAAATCCAACACTTCAGCTAGGAACACARTTACTCCAAGCTTAACCAAGACTTCTAAGTCAGAATGTAGTTGCTCCYTTTTTGTTTTATAGTTGAAGGAAGAAGAGCCTTGTGACTAGGATAAGTTTCAAGCCTGACTGAATTATCCTTTAGCATTTGTCTGTTGTTTTACTAGTTGGTGGGGCACAGAAAGCTGTTCTGCCCCWGCTTAGGTATCTCAGGTAACTGTAAGTCAGTGAGGTGAATCTGGGCTGATATGTTGTTGTTACTACTTTGTTTCTTCACTAAACTTGGGTTCTGAAGGTGTAAGATTGTAAAATACTCAGAGCTGATTGGAAGATAAGCATCTAGACTGCAAATTTTAAAATGTGCATGTTCCATGTCTTCACTGCAACTYGGTTATGTTGATTTGGCTCAAGGAAAAATGTAGAAAACTGGTAATGGCCATACTGTGTGCTTAAGCTTTTCAGGAGCTTGGAGTTTAGAAAATACATGCCATTTTTGTCTATTCAGTGATGAGTTTCAAAGATGCTCTTGTCCCTTTCTTTGTACAAAGTGGTCAGTAGAAAAGAGGACTGCAGTGTTGTAAATATGGATTTATCATTGACCAAAAGCTGATATTTGATGTGGGSTTGAACAGTCTGAAAATCATTGTTTTGATAGGAGTCTTTTTAGTCATAGGAATAGCACTGTCTGCAAAGCATTTGTATTCAAGTTAGGACCCAACTTTTCAGTGAAGATGCAATAGTTTGTGACTCAGTTAAACCCCTGGCACACTCAAACTGCAGAATATCTSTGCATGGAAGACCCAAAAGAAGGCTTGAGTGAGAGAAAGCACAGCAAAAGTCATTGTACTGGCCCACTGCACTGCACAGGGTCTTGCTTTCTAGTATGTCCTCCTTCTCTAAATTAAGAGGAAAAGGTTTGCAAGGAAAACAGACTTCTTATAAACCTTGATTAACTTCTGAGCTGCTTCAGGTCAGTTCACTTTGTTTATGGAAAATTCACTTCAGGATTCCATACTACAAGCTTAGTTTGTTTCTCACGTTGTCACTTGACCTGAACTGCTGTTTGTCCTCCCACATACATTGATAATGGCAGTCTCTTGTTAAAATAAGTACCTCCTTTCTTATTTTGTACAGATAATTGCCCTTTTTGTAATCAATTTTTGTTGGCAAAGTTTTAAATTAAAATTTTAATCTCTGTTACTGTCTTTGTTTTGCTAAATTGTATTTCAGCTTAAGACAAGACTTATGATCTGCAGGTCCCTGAATATTGTCTGACAGCTGCACTGTGACACCATCTCCTGCTGTTGATAAAAATACTCAAGAAAATTACCTGCTTTTGGGTGGGAGTCTTGTCTTTTCTGATCAGTTGCAAAATTGTAAAGGCATTTTCTTTGTCTGTGTTTATACCATGAATGTTGACAGATTGTGTCCTTCCTGGACTATTACCATTTTACAGCTGTTTTTTATATCCTTGATTATTAATCTTTTCTCCTCTGGGAGAAAGCATTCTTCTTCTTGCCCTCAAACTTTGTGGGATTGATACAGATCACTTACTTTTCCAGGTGTAAGCCTGGGATTCTGCARTACCCTCTCTGTCCAGACAGATGTGCACAGATGTCAGAATTCCTTTTGAGGTTAACTGATTTGGAGATGGACACATTGGGCATCCTCTGAACGACTCTTCTGGTGCTCAGCGTTCATCTGACTACACTTTTCCTGTTTGTTACCATAGCAGCATCAAAGAAAATCACGGACTTGGTACATAAAGCATTGTATGAATTAGTTGTGCTCCTTGAACTGGAAAGGCTGGGTCTGTACTAAATAGAACAGTGTGGCAAGTGTGTGCCTTTTGATTTTGCTCCAGCTGCATAAAGAGTCAGCAGAAGAGCCAAGAATATGAAATCAAATGCTTCATCTTTCATTCCTGTTGCTTTGTCTTGGTGACAGCTCCTCTCAGCACAGCTCAGTGATGTGGTGTTCCAGTGACTTCATGAGAAATGATCTGTTGTCATCCAATGGTTGCACTAGGAAAACTGAGAATCTTTCATTTTCAGAGGAGAATATTGTTTGCACTACAACATAAAATTATTTGTGTGTTTATGTATTGCTGTGTACGGGGAGGAAGACTGCTTTGCCTTGGTGGTTCAGGAAGTGAGCTGGAGAGATACCAATTTACAGTCTGAAGCTTCTGATACAACAAGTTACTTTGTAATGACTTTGTAATCCTGTCTCCATAAATCCATAAAATTAAGATGATTCATACTCTCCCTTGTTCTGTGCTAGAGATGGATCAATCTGTACTTGCCATAGTATGACAGAGCACTAATTTTGGTGAAGATGTTCTTAGCATTGCCATTGTGTGCACTAGTAAATGGGTTTTYTTGTTCTAAGCATCCCTAGATTATTATTTTCTCATGGATGACAGTAACAGTGTGAAGTTCAGAATTGAGTCTGTTGTCATAATTTGATTAATTAAGCTAAATACTGTAATATGTGCATATKAAGCAGAAGTACTTACATCTAAAAGGTGATGATGTGCTGTTCTCTAGAATTGAAAAGATGAGAACACTTCAGTTGCTTGTGTTTTTCAAGCAYGCTGTTGAGGTGATGAAAGAAGTTCCATTCGCAGCCATGGCTCACTCTTTCATCAGTTGGAACAGGATCTAGGAGTGATTACACTATTTGAGAGCAAAAGTGCATAAAAGAGCTGTAGCTGCGGGATGTTGGCAAGGCCTCAGCAAAATCTTCTTGATGTTGGGTATGGGGAGAAAAGTGATGATGAAACCTTAGTTCTGGTCCTTCATATTTTTTTTTAATTTTGCCCCTTCGAAGGACAAAGCACTTCCAAWATGCCATTAGAATCAAATCAGATTTTAAGGCCACATTTCTCTATTAACAGACCAATACCAACCCTTTGTGATGAGGATCGTGGCCACTGAGTAGTGTTTAAAATCAAAACCATTAGAAGTAGTCCTCTTGCATCTGAGTATTTACAAGTATTTCTTAAGAGGGTATGTGTATTTAGTCTTTGGACTGGCTGTGGAATAAAGGACAGCAGGTGGATCCCCTGTTAAAGATTTCATTGACTTGTCRTTGTCCCTGGAGGTGTGAGGATGCCTGTGCCAACCCTTGGCTTGTCAAGCTGCTTGGTAAATCTCTTCACACTGTAGAGTTCAGGTCACCTGGTGTATTTAGTTAAATTTCYCTTTACTTTCAARTTGTGTGTCAGTTAGCCCTCCTTARTGAACCCCAGGCTAGTTAGTACTTAACCCTAGCAGACCTCTCAGCCTGTTTTAAAATCAAAGCTCCCTCACCTACTCGGACTGGAAAGGCTTTTTGTAGCACTTGTCTTCATAAAGAAGTGCACTTGGCACTGCTGAGCTAGGGTGCTGTAAAACCTCCGTGAGGCCATGGGGTGTGAGCTCAGTCACAGAGGGCACACAGGGGGCTGCCATCCTATAGCCCATCCCTCCTCTGGGGCTGGGCTGCCCTCTCTTGCACTCTGTAGAGTGCCCCTCCTRCTCAGTGTCATTCCTGTAGAACAGAGGTCTCGGGTCAGTGCAATCCAAACTGCTTCAGTTCCTGGTGCTTGTGYAGGTGTGTGCTCATAGCCCCAGGCTGTGGGGAGCAGGTACTGTGATGGAGAAATGCAATTTGGGTTACATCGTGGCTTCTTTTTTTATGAAAGTAGTTTGTGTGGTATTGTGGATGAACGAGGTGGAGAAGCCTAAGGTACCGGGTTTTGGTTGAAAAAAGTTTTCATCAGTCAGGAAGAGATTAAAGTTGCTGAGAAGTTGCTTTCTTAACTGGACTTGAGAATGGGAAGAAAAACATTGATCAGTATTCGTTGATCAAAGAATGCTTTTGAAAGTGCTCTTTTAACTACAATGGAGGCTCAGAAAGAGCAGTCTCTGTTCAAACTGCAAAGAAAAGCAACACCTGTCTGTCCTTATCTACTGAATCTTTAACCCCGCAGTGGGTGGAGGGGGAAAGGGAGACATTGCTTAGTATTTGTGCTCCCAGCTGGTCTCAGGGATGAGCCTTTGGCTGGAAGGAAGCCTTGATCATGTGCCTGTAACACCCCTTTACCTGTGTTTATAAGCAGCTGTCCATTGACTCTGAACTGCCTATGCTCATTGCTGTTAAGAATTCAAGCAACTGCAAAAAGAAAATGGCCTTGGGCATTGGCCTTATTTGTTTTAGGGGCTTAAGCTAAGGTGTTAACTTTAACTAGTTACTGTTTTGGTATTTTCACTCTGGAGCTTTACATATAGAAGAGTTTTCTTAAATGCTGATTCAAAGCTTGGCTKCTAGAGGGTTTGGGGTTTTGAATATATAAACATGTAGGAAAGTTAATCTTGTCATGTTTTGTGTTCTGTCTCACTCTTCTTCCCCAAGGTATGTAAGATCAAAATCCAATTAATGTTGAAAAAGTAAAGCAAATATTCTGGGGAAGCTTCAAGAAGCTTGAAGACCCCAAAGCTTTATGCAGCTGATGACATAAAGAGCTTTTATTGTTCTTTTTGCCCTTGTGTTGTGTAAATTCAGAAATCAGATTATATCTTTAGGGATTGATGTTCTTAGAAGATCCKGGATCTACAAGCAGGAGTGCAAAAATTTTGTAAGAGTTCAAACTTCTGTAATAAGAAGTGCTCTGCATCATCCATTACAGCAATATTTGGGGTTTTTT